TCAGCAGTCTGTCGGAAATACGGCCTGCCTCATTGATGTTGGCAGATAATATTTGTTCCTAACGGACGAGGCAGGAGAAGACGCTGTTGGGATCTGTGGAAAGAGTTTCACATCTTGATGTGGATATTATCAGCTCACATGGCTTCCAACCGGCTCTTTTCGTTCTGACACGTGTGACAGAACATCATAAAATCTAAATATCATGGCATGCATGTTGAGATGGCCTTTATCTAAACGCACTATCCTATTAGTCCAAGGCCGTTAACTATTTTGACAGGGTGTGGGGGTGGGTGGCAAATATGTGTATTACTTGTCCCCAACTTGATTGAAATAAAACTGTTTTCTATAAAAAAAATCTAGGGGGTTGCCCCCCCCCATGCTGGCTACGGCACTGTAGTCGCGCATGCAGAAAGCGTGATTGTTGTCGGTTATTCAATCAAATGCAGTTACCCCTCGTCAGATTCCATGAAAAAACATGATTGTTAATAATAATGAAAAAAGGTGTATGAATACAAAATTATAAAAAGTGAACTTGTTGCCAACTTATATCTCAAAATTATTTGTTTCTGTGGTTTAATTTATAAAAAAAGTGTGTCAAATGGATAACTGACGGTCTGTAGAAGTTAATAAACTACAGTCGAGACCGTGAGACCAATGCATGCACGGGGACTATTTGTTTTACAAACATTTGGCTTGGCCATGTCCTCTCGAACATTTAAATACTCAAAGTAGACACAATTTATGGATAACATCTTCTTTAATTACTGCAATTAGAGAAGTTGTTATCCATATATTGTGCCTACTTTGTCATCCGTAAGTAATGCGGGGCACGGGTGGCCCAGTCGTCTAAGGCGCCGCGATTCACTGTGCAGAGTTGCGTCCCTTGGGCACGCCAGAAACCTATGATACCCAGGCTCGTGGGTTTCACCGAAGTGGTAAACGTCTGAGACCTGCATCACTTCGGGCTTTCCTCCCACATTAATCTGACGCGCCGTGATATAACTGGAATATTGTTAAAAGTGGCGTTACACTCAACTCACTCACTCACTCACTCACAATTAAATACGATAAAACAATTTAGGTAAATACTCATACTATAATATCACAACTGTCCTAAACCAACAACAATAATCGTATACATACCACGGATCAAGCCATGACATCACAAATTCGAAAAAAGGAAATGGGTACGACAATAATTACTCTTGATAAATATTGATCGAAATGGATTTTCTTCAACATACTGCCAACCCGGCGATTTCAGCATGTTCCGTCAGCAATGTTATAACGAGTCAGAGCACCTTCAAACTTGTAAACATATGTGTCTCCCCATAATCATATTCGTATAGTTGTGCTTCTATTTAAAAAAAAAAATGTTTCAAAGGTTCAGATTCTTTATTCACCAAAACTGACGTGACACAGAAAGAAATACATCTTTTCATATCTTTGACAATTTGACTTTCAGTTTATCACAACTTAATATCGGCGATATATTGACTTACATAATCTGCCGTTATTCAGAGCTCACCGACATACGGCAGATAGAGAGGTGCCGTGAACACAAAAACCACCAGAGTGCTTACCACGCGTATTTCTGATAAGACCCAGTGAAGTATACTTTTTGCGACACTGACTGAACACATTTTAGCTCATATCAAGTTATACAATCGTGTAAGTGTCTATGTTGAATGTAGTTATTAAAGGTGAAATGTTTGCACAGTGGAACACGCGCCAATGAAATAAATCTTCAAAGTGCAAAAACATGTGTAAAGTACAGTTGACATATATAGTGTATAATGTTTCTCTTCATGTAAACAAAAAAGGCTTACACAGCTAAGCAGTGCCCTGCTGAATCAACGCCATGAGAGTCGTTACACGATACTCCATTGATAACGTGTGTCTATCTGGGATCCCTGAACCCACTGTCACGATTCATTCATTACTCCAGATAACCCACTTACGCTTCAACTGCCCTCAGTCATGTTCATACGGTCATGTTTCATGTTTCCATTTGCAAATCATTCTGCTTATATTGATGCAGACCTGAATAGCCACGTGTGTATCAGCCAGAACTGGGATACGACCAGAACTGGGATAAACAGTCCACAACTTCGTAAAACCCCATTTACTGCGGTATGCTTTCGGTTAGCTCTAAAACGCATGGCGATATATATGCGGAATAAGATTCAGTTTTGGGGAACCACACTGAATATGATCTTTTGTATATTTCCATGTTCCATTCCAAATAAGTAACCCACATTACATTCTTCACTTTAAATTGGAAACTTCTTCAGTTATTATTATTTTGTGATTTTGTACTTTTCAAATATTCACACGCCTTTCTGTGCGGCAATTCACATTTATGCACAAATGTCACTGTGTCTGTACGATATATATTTTTCATTAATTATGTTGTAATATATATAGAACCTCTTCACTCGCAGTGCGTTCTCCGAATGGCAGGCAGTTAGACGCCGTAGACTAAGATTTCAGTCATGATGGTCATGTAGTACTATGAACGAAACGGTCTGGGTGTTCATACATACACGTGGAAAAATGCAAAGCACCTGGTGTCATATTTTTTCAATTGTGATTCATAAACACATGTTCCTGATAGAGTCGGAATCAATGGACTTTTACCAAAGATGTCTTATGATTATGGAAAAAGCTTTGATGCTATTCTTTCCTAATATTTTAATATAAAACATTATGTTTTTGAAAACGGATCATGTATTCATGTTCAGACTAAATACATTATTGTTTTTGCGTATAAAGTGAATTACTCATATTTAAATACAAAAACCTGAATCAATAATGTAATGACATGTTATGTAACTGGTAGTGTTACTTGACTTCCCTTACATTGCTTCCCCGCTGCTTGTCGTGTGATGCGGCTTTGTGTTTGTAACATTTGATAAAACATAGAGTGTACAACGTAGACACAATTTGTGAATAGCACTCCTTTATTTCACTGCAATAGCGACGTTCGGTAAACATCCTTGTGCCGTTGTCAAGCATGATTGTTGTTGTCCTTGTTTGACAACGGCACAAGGATGCGTCGCTGAGGCAGTACAATAACAGTTATCCATATCCTGTGTCAACTTTGTCATCAGTCAACTTCCAAGAAATGCAAAGCAAACAGCAGAACATACAATGTTCTTGTTCTACTTTTCTGTAGGTATCGGTGGTGTTTTACCCATTACATATATTTCCATGACATAAGTTCCACATGTAAATATGGCTGTAACATACATGGAAATTCGGGATATACTGACTTGAAGAAGGTGTTATGCATAACTTGTTACACGTGTTAGGGGTTAGAGTAGTGTCTCGAGTCTTACTCTTGTTAATTTCTGCATGCCTTCTTGTGGATCAGTGTGGTTTTCCCCAGCGTCGCAATTACTGTTTTGTTAATCTCTTGTCAGTCTCTTGTTAATCTCTAATAAGTTTCTTGTTAATCTCATGTAAGATTCCTGTTGATATCTTATAAGTTTCTTGTGAATCTCTTGTCAGTCGGGGCGGTCGGGTAGCCTTGTGGTTAAAGCGTTTGCTCGTCACGCCGAAAACCCGGGTCCGATTCCCGACATGGACACAATGTGTGATGCCCTTTTCTGGTGTCCCCCGCAGTGATATTGATGGAATATTGCTAAAAGCGGCGTAAAATCAAAAACTCACTCACGCTTGTCAGTCTCGTGTTAATCTCTTATAAGTTTCTTGTTAATATCTTGTCAGTCACTTGGTCGGTTTAATATTAGTCTCTTGCTGGTAGCATTCATGTCTCACGGTTGGTCTGGCCTAAGCCCCGTGGGGACCCGGGTTAGAATGTATGCCCAGCACCCTATTGCTTGAAGGAAGAGGAGGCTAAATTGAGAATCGTGGGGACCCGGGTTAGAATGTATGCCCAGCACCCTATTGCTTGAAGGAAGAGGAGGCTAAATTGAGAACTCGTTAGGACTCCGGGTGAGAATGTATGCCCAGCACCCTATTGCTTGAAGGAAGAGGAGGTTAAATTGAGAACTCGTGGGGACCCGGGTTAGAATGTATGCCCAGCACCCTATTGCTTGAAGGAAGAGGAGGCTAAATTGAGAACTCGTGGGGACTCCGGGTTAGAATGTATGCCCAGCACCCTATTGCTTGAAGGAAGAGGAGGCTAAATTGAGAACTCGTGGGGACTCCGGGTTAGAATGTATGCCCAGCACCCTATTGCTTGAAGGAAGAGGAGGCTAAATTGAGAACTCGTGGGGACGCCGGGTTAGAATGTATGCCCAGCACCCCATTGCTTGAAGGAAGAGGAGGCTAAATTGAGAACTCGTGGGGACTCCGGGTTAGAATGTATGCCCAGCACCCTATTGCTTGAAGGAAGAGGAGGCTAAATTGAGAACTAGTGGGGACCCGGGTTAGAATGTATGCCCAGCACCCTATTGCTTGAAGGAAGAGGAGGCTAAATTGAGAACTCGTGGGGACTCCGGGTTAGAATGTATGCCCAGCACCCTATTGCTTGAAGGAAGAGGAGGCTAAATTGAGAACTAGTGGGGACCCGGGTTAGAATGTATGCCCAGCACCCTATTGCTTGAAGGAAGAGGAGGCTAAATTGAGAACTCGTGGGGACTCCGGGTTAGAATTGGTCCCGAGCAACCTATACTGATTGTAAGAGGCGAATAATGGATGGAGTGGTCAGGCTCGGTGAATGGCGGATTGCATGTCAAACCCGACGGAGTGGATCGTTGCTCATAATATCAATCATTTAAGTGTTTGGTTCAACCTAGTAGTTAAAGTGTTCGCTCTTCACGACATGTTATTAATGTGAAACCCTTTTCTGATGTTCTAAGACGTGATATTGTAGGAATATTGCCTAAAAGGGCCCACTCACTACTCTACAACGTTAATCTGAGTCACAAAGATCACATGCCTGTTCGGAGTTTGTAATTTTTTTTATTTTTGTTGTTGTCTAAGTACCATATTTCCCAAATTATGACATCAGCAGCAAAACTTGGGCTACACTTGCGAAGATGATGAAAACTCAGTTTTAACAGTGCGTGAACACATCTGATCCAAGCTTTTCACAGTCTTTAAAATTCATATTTTTGTGGAACGATCACTACACAGTAACGTTTCTGAGCGATTAGGTACACGTGTTTTGTCTCCATCCAGGTGTGAGCACATGCCACCTGTCACTATACATGGAACACAGAGTGTCTTTCAGTTTCCGATTTTGACACATGGACAATGTTATCATGGGTTTAAATGAAACACATTACCTGTACCGCATTGATTTGACACATACCACATGTTTTAACGCACGACTATCATATATTTGTGGACACACAGTTAAAGTTAACGTTTCAATGCATGTCACCTGCCATTCATTTATTTAGGATTCATGACACATGCCAAAATCACCAGTCAATATTGAATAGTGAATATAAGACACAAGATACCTTCAACTTTTGACACGTGATGCCCGTCATTGATTAATTTTGGACACGTGACACCTGTCCTCTATTACTTGTAGATATATGACACATTTCATTGTTCAATTTTGGACACGTGACACCTGTCATTTATTACTTGTAGATATATGACAAATTTCATAATTCAATTTTGGACACGTGACACCTGTCATATATGACTTGTAGATACATGACACATGTTATTGTTCAATTTTGGTCATGTGACACTTGTCATATATTACTTGTAGATACATGACACATGCCATAATTCAATTTTGGACACGTGACACCTGTCATTTATTACTTGTAGATACATGATACATGCTATTGTTCAATTTTGGTCATGTGACACCTGTCATATACTACTTGTAGATATATGACACATGCCACTGTTCAATTTTGGTCATGTGACACTTGTCATTTATTACTTGTAGATACACGATACATGCCATTGTTCAATTTTGGACATGTGACGCCCGAAAGATTTTTACTTGTTGATACATAACACATTTCATTGTTCAATTTTGGACAAGTGACACCTGTCCTTTATTACTTGTAGATAAATGATACATGCCATTGTTCAATGTAAGACACCAGTCAATAGTGAATATAAGCCACAAGATACCTCATGCTGTTAGTTTTCAATTTTGGACACGTGATGCCCGTCATTGATAAATTGTAGACACATGGTATCGGTCAATTTTGAAGACATGGTCCTAGTCAGTGATCACTATTTGACACATGGTCCTATCATTGTTCATTTTTGTTCAAATGTATAACAATCGCTTCTGGTCTCACATGCAGAATGTGCTTCCGACTGACACTCGTGTCTCGTGATGCTGTTTCACGGTGACGCGTCTTGTCCTTGACAGAAGCTAGCCATCTTGAAATGACCGCCGACAAGTCCACCAGAAATATACTCCCAAAAACCAAAGTTAGAAACGCACCACCGATGTACCCAATACCTGCAGCGGACAGACGAGTGTCTTGAATACTCACAAACTTTCTTTTGGATTTCGACGTCATGATCGGGTCCACTGTAAGCTGCTTCTTAATCTCTTTTGCCTTTTCTTCCACTTCTTCAATTGTGATGTTCTTGCAAGTACACTGACACGCATTTGATTTACTGGTGACCTTCACCGTTGAGTTGACTTTTACCTTGACTGGTACGTCGCGAACCGTTGTTGCCCAGTCTTCTGTTGTGACCCGTGTGTCAGTAGTGACGTCATCATTTACAGACGCTGTAGTTTCTGCAGCTAATGTCGGGGTGACGGTTGTAACGTCTTAAAACAAATAAAAATGAAATAACTCAAGAAATATATTTACTCTTCCTGAACACATGTTTGCATCATTCTTATATGTCTTACTACATACTATTTCATGATGAATATTCAACTTTTAATTTTGTATTCCATTACATGTAGGAGGCATTCATATTTTGTGTTTTACATTTGACAAGAAATGTAAAGTTGGCAGAGGTGAGGTGAAGTGAAATGGGGGTAAAATGGGGCGTCCAAGATTATAGAACCTATATAGCGACGTGCATGCACGTGTGTGTATGTGTGTGTGTGTGTGTGTGTGTGTGTGTGTGTGGCTGCTTGTACTAGTCTGGACTGATGCCGATTTATTGTGCAAGCCCACTGAGATACCATGCCGCAGTTTAACATGAATACCTCACTCAGACACAGTATACTGACTCCGAGCCGAGCAGTCCTTGTTTTAGCCCCTTACTGCCGATCGCCAGACAGAGTAACAACAAGTACCATCTTTTAACGTCTTTTGGTATAGAGGCGGTGATAAAGTTGGCAGAAACAACATCAAGGCGAGTGCATGCATATGCATCAACCGGTGCCATTTCAGCATCAGACAAAATAATGTTGTGGTACTCCGTAATAAGTCATATCCAGGCGTGCTTGACATAACCATAACCGCGCTGTATTACATACATCGAAAGGACCTTCGAAGAAGGCGGGTACGTTTGACGAACCTCTTGTTTAAGCTGAAGTTTTCTTCCCGCCTTTTCTTTTTCCGAACACCTATACTTTTAGAAGATATCTCTCTTGAGGCCGCGATTGTACGACGTTGCACATATTTTAATGTTTAAAAACAGGTTATTCAACTGTATTGTGAAGCAAAGGTGTACATTAATAATGTGGTAATATTTGTTTTTTAATTTCCGCTGAGGCATTGCATGGAGATACGAGAAAACAGGTTATTATGATGGTCTAAAATGATCTTACAGATTGGTTGATATGATGCCTGCTATTCTTTCAAAACTTTATGACGCCTAGGTAATATGTAAAAAACCCTATCAATTATGCATGTTATAATAAATATGGAAAGATAACAGAAAAAAGGCCTTCCATATTAATAACAAATATCTTCGAAAGCAGAGTCGATTTTACGATCCCAACTATAACATGAGCAGGTGTCTATGAATCACTATCCATGTGGTGGCATCCGTCACAAACACATGCAGTGGCTAGTCAACTGTTCACCTGAAAATATCACGTCATGTCATCTCGAATCTAAAATTTTAGCACACCAGGTACACCATGTGATCTGATTTTAATTTGACATGCAATGAAATATTTAGCCATTGCGTTAGGGTAGTGAAGTTGGTGAGCTGGCATCACACATCGTGTCGTACAGTAAGTTTAGTTAATTTTTCTGAATGTCTACCACAAACAGTAAACACTACCATGATCATTCCTCATTATAATTATGTGTTAAATAAATATGAGCTGAAGTTCACCAAAAGCACATGAGTTTCACATAAATTGATCGCCAGAATAAATGAGGTAAATATTAGGCCTGATTTTGTCGAGTTGACGCGTGCGTTCATTATGGTGTCTGGAAATGGATTATGTCATCACGCATAAAGGGAAGCATCAATCTAGTAAACAAAGGTGTGTGGCATTGTATTTGAAAAGAACAAACAGACAATGGCAGGTACAGAGCAACGCGGTATCGATTTTTCGATTTCCGATTTCCTTTCAGCACCAACAACGTTTGTAGTCTTAAATAAATATTACAAATGACTGCGATCTCTACTCGGATCACATTGGGTGATGACCATTGACAAGTCTTTATTAAGTTGTCATTCGACCTATGTGTATAAACTTTATTTAAAATATTATAAAGTTGTACAATAATCCAACAATGACGAGGAGAATTACTGAGTCGAAGTGTCAGTCAGCACGACTCAAGACACAACAGGTAGATAAATCACACTACACAAGACAACAGGTAGATAAATCACACTACACAAGACAGCAGGTAGACAAATCACACTATACCAGACAACAGGTAGACAAATCGCACTACACCAGACAACAGGTAGACTAATTACACTAGACCAGACAACAGGTAGACACATCACACTACACCAGACAACAGGTAGACAAATGACACTACACCAGACAACAGGTAGACAGATGACGCTACACCAGACAACAGGTAGACACATCACACTACACCAGACAACAGGTAGACACATCACACTACACCAGACAACAGGTAGACACATCACACTACACCAGACAACAGGTAGACACATCACACTACACCAGACAACAGGTAGACACATCACACTATACCAGACAACAGGTAGACACATCACACTACGCCAGACAACAGGTAGACAAATCACACTAGACCAGACAACAGGTAGACTAATTACACTACGGAAGACAACAGGTAGACTAATTACACTAGACCAGACAACAGGTAGACACATCACACTACACCAGACAACAGGTAGACAAATCGCACTACACCAGACAACAGGTAGACTAATTACACTAGACCAGACAACAGGTAGACACATCACACTACACCAGACAACAGGTAGACAAATGACACTACACCAGACAACAGGTAGACAGATGACGCTACACCAGACAACAGGTAGACACATCACACTACACCAGACAACAGGTAGACACATCACACTACACCAGACAACAGGTAGACAAATCGCACTACACCAGACAACAGGTAGACACATCACACTACACAAGACACAACAGGTAGACAAATCACACTACACAAGACAACAGGTAGACAAATCACACTACACCAGACAACAGGTAGACACATCACACTACACCAGACAACAGGTAGACACATCACACTACACAAGACAACAGGTAGACACATCACACTACACCAGACAACAGGTAGACACATCACACTACACAAGACAACAGGTAGACACATCACACTATACCAGACAACAGGTAGACACATCACACTACGCCAGACAACAGGTAGACAAATCACACTACACCAGACAACAGGTAGACTAATTACACTACGGAAGACAACAGGTAGACTAATTACATAACACCAGACAACAGGTAGACAAATCACACTACACCAGACAACAGGTAGACACATCACACTACACCAGACAACAGGTAGACACATCACACTACACCAGACAACAGGTAGACAGATGACGCTACACCAGACAACAGGTAGACACATCACACTACACAAGACACAACAGGTAGACAAATCACACTACACAAGACAACAGGTAGACAAATCACACTAGACCAGACAACAGGTAGACACATCACACTACACCAGACAACAGGTAGACACATCACACTACACCAGACAACAGGTAGACACATCACACTACACCAGACAACAGGTAGACACATCACACTACACAAGACAACAGGTAGACACATCACACTATACCAGACAACAGGTAGACAAATCACACTACACCAGACAACAGGTAGACAAATCACACTACACAAGACAACAGGTAGACACATCACACTACACAAGACAACAGGTAGACAAATGACACTACACCAGACAACAGGTAGACAGATGACGCTACACCAGACAACAGGTAGAAACATCACACTACACCAGACAACAGGTAGACAAATCACACTACACAAGACAACAGGTAGACAAATGACACTACACCAGACAACAGGTAGACAGATGACGCTACACCAGACAACAGGTAGACACATCACACTACACCAGACAACAGGTAGACACATCATACTACACCAGACAACAGGTAGACACATCACACTACACCAGACAACAGGTAGACTAATTACACAACACATCACAACATGTATATTGGCCACCACGCGCCCGTGGTCAGGTATGTCAGGCTGGCTAAAACTATTTTTTTATGCCTAATAATACTGACATTACATTAACATGTAATTTTCCCTGGTGCATATTCCTGCTTTGATTCAATAGTGATCTTTCTACGCATCTGTTCCTGTATGTCTACATCGGTGAGCATGACTGTTCCTGTGTCCCAATATGCTGGGAACGTACATGTTAAACAATAGTTTCGGACTGACTCGGTTGTCAGTCCCTGGCACATGTAAGTCAATCTAACCCGACGTTGTCTTGGAGAGACGCTGACAGTTACCGTTTGTCCTAACTAGACCACGACAAAGACAGTTTCTTAACTGGAAGTGGCGGAGCATAGTTGATTCCATCCTCGATAATAATTATATATCCATTCTGTTATGATAGATATCCTGGAAGAAAATGTTGAGAGAAGGAATTATCTTACCCACGAAACATCTTTCTCCTGTGAAACGAGGTGGACAGATGCAGGTGTAGTTACCGACGAGGTCTTGACACGTGCCTCCATTTCCACAAGGTTCGCTCATGCAGTCGTTGACCTCGTCTAGGACAGATTATCGGGTTACTGTTATGCTTAACGGTTCTTCACAGTATTAAATTAATTAAAGCATTACACTGTACGTTTAATGCTGTTTGTATTGTTTCACGTTGAACGCCGCTGTCAGTGCCCAGCTGTTTCACGGCGGGCTGCATGAGAGTCTTCGCTGGCCAAACCAGTGGTTTATTCACGGATTCACGACAAGCATGAGGTACTAAATATTTATCCTGATCCCGAATTCCCAAGGGTGTTATGATGTTAAAATTTCTTTAGAATGGATATCATGCTGCATGCTGATACTGATCCTAAAAAATAATAGTAACGAATATTTCCAAAAAAACAATGGAGTATTAAGTGAGTGCGTGAATGTTTTTGTTTTGGCAAATCAACCATATTCCAGCCGTACCTCAACAACGATCATATATACGATATTGGGTAGCAGTGATATTTGATCCATGACACAGATCAAACAGGTATTCTTAACTAAACTGATTTAAAATTATTAATAAGAAGTGTGGTGGGTGGTGTGTAGCCTCATTTGGAATATGACAAGATTGCAAATTATTGTTGTGATCCAGAGAATCCCCAGTTATACCCAAGTGAGCACCAAATAATACCAATCTTCGATTTTCCAAATGGACATTTACACATTAGTTTCTCACCATTTTCACAAAGTAGGCCGTTGAACCCTGCCGGACAGTAACAGCGATAGGAATCCCCAGATTCGTAGCAAGCTCCACTGTTTTCACAGGGGCCAGAGTTGCAGGCATTCCTCCCTGCAAGATAAGTCCAGTACTGTATAAAACATTGAGCGTTTGTTATCCATAACACAATAGGGAGATGGACTCACATACGTCTTATAACTGAAATCACAGGCGGTTAATCTTACAAAATTTTCGATCCAAAATATGTTCATTTTTAGAACATGTCCAGGGGAAGCCCGAACCAGATAGTAAATATATTACCTGAAAAGTTTTCAAGAATAATTCCAGCCAGATATCCATAAGCTTTGAAGGTAATGAGGCCGTGTACCGTGGCTCCGAATCCTTTCCCGTTACGATGCGCTAAGGTGAGTTCCCCTTGTTCAACAGATTTGGAAGCAGTGGTCATGTCACACCCAGGGATGTCATGGAAGGAAGACTGTGGCATGAACTCCAAACCAGAGCTGTCATTTTTGGCCACAAATACTGACACATAAGGAACCAGGACATACCCAGGGGTACTGGAAGATGTGATCAGATCCAGGACGTACCTGGACGCGTATCTTTCAATCGGGGGCATGATGGCCATGAAAGGATCTCCTTCTAACGCAGATCCATCAGCAACCTGCCCCTTTGCAAATTGCACCACCATGACTGGCTTGTTGCTTGTGATACATCTGTAATCCGTCTGGGTAAAATCCAAATCCTTAAAGGTCCTTGCGGACAAGATGTGTCTGGTACCGTCTGATTCGAAGACCACAGTGTCATGCTTTTCAGCAACAATCCGATACACAACACCGCACTGGCGACCAGCGATGGGGCCCAATGCATACTTCTTCCCGAATGCATACGTGGGGATTAGCATTTCAACGAGATTGTCTGGGAACTCCACCTTCTTTGGAACTTGGGTGAGAGGATTCCCAGAGAGGACTGCAACTGGTTTATTTGCCTTGATTAGAGTCCCCGTGATGTCTCGATCACAATACACACGAACTACATCCATCATCTGCAGCCGGAACGTGAGGATCTCTCCCTGCACCAGCCTCGTACTGTTACAGCTTGCTGTGGTGCTCAGTGTTACGTTGACAACGGTGTCGTTTTCTGTTGCAGCGATTATTACATGGCCTGAAAAGTTAAAAAATATTTTTCACGTCAAGGTTTTTACTTACACTATGTAAACTCATTCTAAGGTTTCGTCATGTGGTTTTATATCTGTGATATCACTGTAAGTTCTTTTAATATTTGAAACAACAAGAGACAAAATTGATTGCCAAGTGTTCATTTCACTGTTCTGAGAAAGGCATTGTTTTTGTGCCATGAAACAGCATATTGTTCTCACTGGCAGCCTGTGATTCTCCTGTATCACTACAAATGCCCTTGGAAGGCCTAACCAGCACACACTCAGGGTGTTGCATGGTCACTTCCGTGTTCACACATTACTCAGGGTTTATATTCATGTGCAAATAGAGGAACATTTAGATTATTAAAGAATGGCATGACACATGGTAAGTGAAATGTTTAGACATGAAAACATGAGCACCCAGGAAGAAAACGACGATTAGAGGATACACAAAAATAATCAAAACCATATCAAAGGTAAAACGTTTAACTATTCATTGCTTGACATACTAACTATTACCAATGGGGCCTGCATGCTCCCATCCAGGTGTATAACACAGTAGGTTTATCTCCATTCTACCATGACCGCAACAACGCTTTGAAAACGGCGCTCTCTTGCAACGTGTAATAACACAGGTGCACAGGTCCGCAATCTTAGAACATTCCGAAAAGTGGTCACAGGTAGTTATATATGTAACAATTATTACTCAAGTTCAAGATTAAAAACACACCATAGTCGTGAGTAGGTCATAATAAGTGTTCAAAACACATAGTTTTCAAAAGAAGTTGACAAATAACACTCCAAACGTAGTCCAAAGAGAGATGTTTTAATTTATATCAAACTGTTGTACACTGTTGTACACTGTGGACTGACTGTCATTTCTCGGAATGTTGCGCATTTCTTGGAAATCGAACATGCCATCATTTCTATTGTAGGGGTGACGGGTAATAGAAAAAGGTTTTCAAATGCTAAACCAATATATTTCTACAGCAAACTTTATGAATTAACATTCTATTATACATTTAACATGTGTAAGTGTTATTTGTTAGTTAGCAATTACCCCCAGTAAACAATAATAAAATCAAAATAAATGCCTCTCCACCCCGAACTTGGATGTGGCAGAACTTGACCTACATCACGGTTACTCACACCTTACAGCCGTCAATGGCTGACAATCTTGTGTTTATATTCTCCGTAACCAGTTATACAATAAAGCAAGATGACAAGCCCGATCTATGATGTGGTTCAACATTTACAGGTAGATTATCTGGGATTTATCAAGCCTGCTGGTACATCCATATGATTACCAATGTGACTGAGTATGACTGAACAGTCGCTTTAAAGGCTTCAAACGAGCCGGATATTTTGAAACAAGGAATCTGCATGTGACCTATTAATTTCAAGATGTCACGGATCCAAAGCCAAATTGTGACAGAACTTAAGACATTTGTGTCCCAGAAATAGTGGATCGTGTATGATTTTCTTGATTGTGCGTGTTCTGAAATGAATTTCATCAAGTTTGATAAGCTGTCACTTCAGTTGGGACATTGTTTTCGAGGACTTTCGAATGGGAGTGTTTTCTGATGGACTTTCAAATCCCCTCTTGCCAAATATTAACGGTGCTGGTTGACGGAGATGACAACGAATATCGATCAGAAAAAAGGTTTGTAAACAACATGTCATGAATACATTTGTTTCAAACAATTTTTATAATGTTTTATTTTACTTTCATTGCCGGTTGTTTCAATGAGGAAATAGCTTAAACTGTTCCGATTCTGGTCACCATAGAACATTTCTCTAACAGTTTCATAAACATTTCATTTGTATGCAAAAGATATGCCTTAGTTAAATCTTTTAATGTCATCATCGAAGCAGTCAGGGTTGCGGCCTAGAACGCCCCAAACATCCGATATCAAACTACCGTATTTCCTCTATATGACGCAACGCTGTCTATTAATTTCGCGAGAGCGCTTGACTCGGCGTGTATTAGAGACCTGGCTGGCATTAGAGACCCAGCGTGTATTAGGGGACATAAAGATTCGTTTTACAGTTTATATGGGGGTGATCGATCGGCAGCCATTTTTTATGAATCGATATGTAGGCTCCCTATGTATTCATGCGCACGTTTTTGTGAAAAGGCTTAATATATTTGAAAGGGGTTTCCGTAGCAAAAAGGACACCTCTTTTTAACCAATCAGAATCAAGCATTCATCAATGTCATGGTAGAATATAAAAAATAAAACGACTATGAACGGTAATGCTAAAAAAGATGTTCACATAAGAACTTCATATTTTTCCTCCAAGGGAAAAAAGGTACACCTGTGGTTAAATAGTAAGTTCGAATAATCCGTGTTTGGAATTCGTGCCATGTGTGAAGCAAATGTGTGGTGTCCATATTAGGATGCGGCTTAAATAATGTTTATAAGCGACATCAAAAAGTCATTCAATCATGCTTACCTCCTGCACCAGCGTGACTGTAATAGGTTACGGCAATGTATTCGTCCGACAGCGTATTTACAGGTAGAGCCAGAAATCCATCCATTGCATTGTACTGATTCACGTAGCCGTACACTGACACCTTGTTTGATGCTAGGATGTGGATAGCTTTTCTCTCCACCGCCATGTTCGAAAACACTGTGGTCTGATAAGGGAAGTAAATGTGTCGAGAACTTCCAGCAGAAAGAAAATGTTCAGTGTCATTTTCCCCGTCCATCATAACGTAGACTTTGACGTCAGTCTCTGACGTGATTACCAGGAGATTGACGTTGTCGTTTGTACCGCTGTCGGGAAATGCTACGATGAAATTAGTTCCTTTCTGGTCTATTTGTACACCACAAATACCTGAAATATATGCAAAACATATTCATGCACACGCGCGATAGTGTTATGTTAGCATACTATGCAAAGAATGAACAGTATTCCAGTTATATCATGGCATGTCAGCTTGATACGGGAGGAACTCTCGAAGTGACTCATGCCTTAGACGTTTACCACTTCGGTGAAAACCATGAGCAAGGGTATGGTACATAAAAACCAAGAAATATAATTAATGTGGTAATTTGCATCAAAGTATACGAATCGTTTAGTTTTAATGACAAATTGTCACCCCAGAAGAGGGGAAATTAATAAAATTTAATATATTTTGCATCGAATATTAATGCATGCAAATTTGTTGAATGATTTACATTTAACCCATTACTGAATGACATTCACTTTTTAACAGTACCAAATGCACCAGAAGAACGAAGGGCTACTCCATGTCATCCGAACTGTGGGTACATGGAGCTGTACACCTACCTGGGATAATAGCTTGAAGAACCGACGTAGCCACAACCATTTGTACCTAAAATAGAATTCTAAAAATCAATTTACAAATTGTAAACATATGATAAATTATTGTGAAGAACTAACCATATATATTAAAACAGTTATATGAAATGCGTATCAACAGCTTGAAAATTGACACAGACAGAATTCCTAACTTACCAAACACAACATTTTGCCGTGTTGTCTAAAGCGCCGATCCGAGAAGTGTGTTTGTTGCACATTTCATCCTACTTTTGTTCATTACGTGGCCTTTTCATCAGTCAAGTGATGCTGGTGTAAATATGTACATATGCCATTTTATGATAAATATTGCAATTACCAGAAAAGCTACAGCGAAATACGCTTCCATGTGTGTGTAGTTGTCTGTCATTGTCAGGAGTTGATTACGTCCCCCGAGCACTGTGTGTTTGTTTTATTGTTGTGGAATCTATATCAAGCTGACATGCAACCGTCATGTGCTGTCATGATTAATGATGCACTGTTATTAATGAAATAATAATAGCAATATGTAGCATTATTGAATTATAACTATAAGCCACTGTACGAATTTCTGTACTGTATTTTGAAATACACCATAAAAATACACTGTTTATCTCAGTGTAGTGCTCCATATAATGTATATACATCATAGTCTTCCTATTGTTTGAATGTGGCTGCGAATGTTTATGAATTGTACACACTAAAACTGATATTTTGAAACCACTACAACTACCACAACCCAACAACGCTTTCTACACCTGCTACGGCCACAACCCCGCTACTCACCCTGCAGCAGCTTCTTCCGCAATCTTGCAAAACCTTCTACAGCTGCTGCTATCACAACTCTGCAACTCCTTCTGCAACTGCTAAAACCACAACCCAGCAACTCCCCCTACAACCACTTTTACAGCTACTACTACTGTGTCATGGCAAGATACCCAAAAGTAGCTTAATCGTCCAGGCGCCACATTGCCCTGTGCAGAGAAGCGCCCCTTATGATCAGGCGTGTCAAAATCTTATTATCGGGTCGAACTGATTATGATTCTTGGTGTGTAAGCACCATATCCGTAGTCATGGGTTTCATCAAAGCGATAAATGTATAAGAACAACAATCAGAGAGTTTTACTTTTACTAAGTTATATAAATTGATATGTTACGTCCACGTTTAGTATTTTTGTCATGTGAAATAAGGGGAATGGAAAGCCCATTCGTCGATTGTGCAGAATTGCGTCCATAGATATTAGGACCTAAGACCTGCTTCGCGCTTTCCTTCCACGTCAAGCTGATACGCCGTGATATAACTGAAATACTGACCAAAGCGGCGTTAACCCTAAGTTAACTCACTCACTCACCCATGTGTAATTGATATAAAGTAAATCATACTGAAATCCCTTGCCAAGAAAAACACACAACCCTAACTGATACATGCATGTAAATTAAAACGCAGTAAAATATGCATGAACCACATCTGTGTTTATGACACAACAAAATAAAAGTAATGGAAATCAACTATTATCATTAAATTAATTTTATGTGCATATAAAATGGGGAGACCTCAATTATTTCCAGAGAAATATGATATTGATCTGTACTCATTGAAATGAAGAACCATATTGCTAACAGGAACAACACTCAACACATCTCTCGGCGTTCTCCCGGCCAGCGTGCCATTGGCGCTTTTTCGATGTTTACATTACACATTGCATGTCAGTTTGTAATTAACAACTGGCAATATTCCGACGTACTCGGGCAGCTGACAAATTTATGTATTTACCTTTTTGAAGGGAATGGGAGATATATTTGCAGAAATTAACTCCAGAAAACGATTTTAGGCAATGAGTTCAAATAAATACATTGATAGGCTATCATGCAGAGAGTTGTCCAACACTGAACAATCTTCCTCAGATGAGGGAAGAGACATTTCTCAAAGATGTCTCTTGTTGTTCATCACAGTGTAAGTATACTAGCCATTATTATTAGAGATGCCCATATTTCATATTTCACAACTGTGTCTTGAATTCAAATTTCGATGTGCTTCTATACTGCATTGATAGATGCTGTTATGAGACGTGCATATTCTTCTGTTATTCAGATTACTTTTACAAAAATGTATGTTTAACGTCGTATTTATTAAATCTTAATATATACTAGGGGCGTATAGCCTCCATGGAGTTCTTGAAATAAATAATAAACTTTGACTGCAAACTTTTAAATTTCGTGATATTGTGGACAGGAAATGTGCTTGATGGACCATTTTTACTGTCCCTTATGCCAAACTTTACATTGTTCACAAACATTTTGTTCCATTTCTTAAACATACAATATTATCTTTGCAGGCTACAATTCTTCTGCTGATGTCTTTAATGTTGGAACTTGGAAATGGTAAGTTAATTTTGTTTTAGTACATAAACAGTGAAATAAATTGTTGCGCCGAATGTAATTGCTTCGTGTATTACGTATTACGTTTGTTAGGCCTTTGCAAACGCAATATTTATTTTCTTCATTACATATGTTTCAAATTAAATTACAGGTGGTTTAAACAACAACGGCAAAGAGTTTGTCCTGGCCTTCATGGATAATCTACGCTACAATTATGACCTTGAACTTTTCATTGCCACGTCAGAGGAGACGGAGGTCAAGGTGAACGTCACGGCCCCAAAATGGCCATCGGCCGATCTCGATCAATCGTTTACAATAAGGTCCGGAGAAGTAAAGCAATTGTTTATATCAAATTCATTGCGAAGTATTGGTACAGCTATCTCAGGTAAAGGCATATATGTGTCAGCTGATAATAATATAGTGGTGTACGGTGTCAATAAAGAGGACTATTCCAACGATGCTTTCCTAGGCTTACCAACGGATGTCCTAGGGAACCGTCACTTCACTGTCAGCTATTCTCCGGCCTTCAGGAAATGTGAAGTTGTCATTGCAGCAGTTGAGGATGACACAAATATTCGAATCAAGCTCCCTGTGTCCGACCCAGCCGTCAGTGTCAACTACCAAGGACTGCTTTATGGAAATGGGGGCGAGATTAACATTGTCCTGGATCGGTTCAGTACCTTCCAATTTCAAAGTGTAGGCGACTTGACAGGATCTCGAATAGACTCAGATAAACCCGTGTCCGTCTTCAGTGGGAACATGAAGACCAATATCGGGACAGGCAGTACCCAAGACCACCTAGTTGGGCAGATACCACCAGTTGAGGCATGGGGTAAACGGTTCGCAACAGTTCCAACCCCTAACAGAACTACAGGGGATTACTTCCGGTTCATAGCCAGCGAGGATGACACTGTTGTGAACGTTACAAGACATGGAACCCACAGTTTAGCTAACGCAGGGCAATATCTCCAACTCCTCATACCATCGAATGAATTCAATCTCGTCTCCAGCAACAAGGCTATACTGGTAGTGATGTTTGTCCTCAGTCAGTTGACCCAATTTGACGAAGAAGAAGCTGATCCGTCCATGATTCTGATCCCTCCTATACAGCAATGGGCGTCTGACTACACATTCGCAACACCTAAGTTTTCATTAGGGTCATATGAGAACTTCTTCATGTTGGCCATCGACTCTGCTGAGACTTCAGGGCTGATGCTGAATGGCAGGCCAATGGTTCCTGAAGGCAACTGGACGTCAATTCCCGGAACCAATCTTGTAGGCGCCTTCGTGTCTCTTCCAGAGGGGGTACACAGAGTCCGACACATCTCCCCTATTGTCTTATTTGCAGGCTACCTGTATGGAAAAGCCTTATCGGAAACTTATGGATTCCCCACAGGGATGAGATTAGCACCAATAAATGCGGTAAGCACTGAATTGCTTTTCAGTGATTTATTTACTTTTTACTTTTTCACTCTTGTTTTGGCTTTTACGCCCGGCAGAAAATTGAGACTGCTTTTTCTCTGGCGTTGACGTTATATATTTATAAGAGATCCTAGAGATTTCGATGAGGCACAAATTCAAACAAATTTAGATTTAAGTATTTCAAGTCAAATTTACTTCAATGAGCTTAAGAACAGTTGTCGCACAAAACTGGAATCATGGCGTAAGTTAACCCAGAGGCAATCTCGATTTAAATAAACTGATCTCAGTTATATACTTATCATCTTTTGAAACATAATTCAGTGACCATTGCGTCTGATTTCAATATAACAGTCTTGAACCAGCATTTCAGGACTTATACCAAATTGTTTTAAAAATCTGTTTTAAAAATTTCGACTCGTCGTTATATTTGAATGCTGACATGATAATTCTTCTTCATCAGTTTTTGTTAATTATCAATGAGCAAAAAGAGCTTACGGACCTAAATATATCTTGATATATATATCGGGAATCTGAATAAACTACAGGGATAATTCCTATCATTATCAAAAGAATAGTGTAATATAAATAAAATCAGTGTCTAGCTGTGACGTAGCTAAGGGATTTTATAAGTTTTGGCAACTTTGGAGATTAAATTTCGAAACAATTTTGCGAGGGCACTAAGCCTAGCCAAGCGGGATTAGTAGCCACATCTGTGCTTGTAGACCCAGCGTTAGAAATTGGCACTAGTCCTATAGTCCTTGCCAAAGTGCCCAGTGGTAAAGGTATCATAAGGACTAGTAGAAATTTGCCCTTTAGGGTTTTGCTATATGTTATCATTATGAGGACTAGTGGACGAAAACTGTTAGTTTCTAACCCTGTAAAAAGACCTCTGCGGCTTGAAAACTTCTCCACAAATTAAAATAGTTGGATTTGGCCGAACTATGTTTGAATTGTTACCTTGTTTCGTTTTGTCGCTGTGTGTACATCTGATTGAATTTTTAACGTTATGACAGGACAGACTGACTGCCAACAGCGTCTGAACGTGGCCGCGACGTCTCATAGACTAGGGTTAGAGTAGCTTCCCTTTGACAAAGGGCAGTTACTCTAGCGGACAGACCGATCGATTGCCGCGAAATACAAGTAAAAATTGTTGTTTTGCGTATATGTTGATTCGCCAGTGTATAAGAAACAGATTTCAGTTAGAACTATATTGGCTACTGTCACTGTCCGACTGACACATCACTTACCCTGTGACGTAATAAATATTAATGCGCGCATTCCAGGAAAACTCGTAATGTTTAGGTATTGTATGTGAGATAGGGAAAGCGATTTTCAAGCACAGAATTAAAGAATGACATTATATGATAAAGAGGTTATCACGCTTGTGTGTTTGGGGATGGTAAATATCCTTTATTAGGAATAAACATTGTATTTAGCGAGCCTAGGCTCGCTAAATACAATGTTTATTCCTAATGCAGGATATTTACCATCCCCAAACACACTCGCGCGATAACCTCTATATATCATCACGTTAATAATTTGGACATAATATCAGACCCTTATATTTTCTTACTAACTCTTAGTTCAAAACCATGAAATAATTTTATGTATTGATATAATACTTGATCCTGGTAATGCTAATTGCTCCTTCCTATGTTTTGCGTTCTCTGTTTACCAAGCCCTATAGAGAAACACGCACCGAGAGATATAATATATGATTCATGGTTATGTATTTAATAATCCTTACTATTTCAATTTTACCGCAGTTGTGTACGGCAACTTTATCTGCGGTCGGAGACGGAGTTGACAACGACTGTGATGGTTTCATAGACGAGGAGCTGTGTTTACCGGGGGATGATGGTAGGAACCTTTGTACACATACAACTTATGTAAACAAGTATAGACATATTGAGTAGTATACAGTCGAACCTCGTTGTTAAGGAAAGCGAAATTTTATTCTTAATTTAGATACTTAGGACTCCAAAATGAGTTCGAGACAACCGAGTATTCGACACATCCAAGTTCAAAACAACGAGGTTCGACTGTGGTGCCAATATCTTATATATGAGAGTGAGTCAGTGAGTGGTGTTTAACGCTAATTTCAGCAATATTCCAGCAATATCACAGCGGGGAACACCAGGAATAGGATTCACACTTTGTATCCATAGTCGGGAATCGAACACGGTCTTCAGTGAAACGAGCGAGCGCTTTAACCACTAGGCTACTCCTTGGGCCAATAGATTAAAGTCATTCAAGTTGATGATTTAAATCAATCTAGCAGTTGATGATTGCCAAAATTGTGTCAATTTGACTAATTTCAATACCTAGATCTATACCGAAATTTGGCAACAGATCATGGCGATAGTCCATTTTCAATCCAATTCGAAATATTAACAATAAAAAGTCAATCTTAAACGATAAAAGTTTGACTTAACGCTGAGATCTCTGTGGGATACGGAACCCTGATAAAAATAATCGAGGTTATCTATATTAAACACACAGTTAATTTTGTTGTTATAAAGTAAGAGTTCTCAATATTTTCAATATTTCTTTTATTCGGTCATGAAATGCTATTAATGTCACGTATATACAATTCTTAGTTTTAAACATTTCCAATAACGCCATGTTACCTCACGGTACGAGGTGAGGTGAAATGGGGTTTAACGTCGCGTCCAAGATTATTGCACTTATATAGCGACGTGCATGTACGTGTGTGTGTTTGTGTGGCTGCTTGTACCAGTCCGGACTGATGCCGATTTAAAGTGCTAGCTCACTGAGATACCATGCCGCAGTTTAACATGAATACCCCACTCAGACACAGTATACTGACTCCGAGCCGACCAGTCCTTGTTTCAGCCCCTTAATGCCGAGCGCACGACAGGGTAACAACAAGTACCATCTTTTAACGTCTTTTGGTATGACGCGGTCGGGGATCGAACCCCGGACCTTCCGCTTTCCGGGCGTACGCTCTACAACTAGACCACGGAGGCGGTCTCTCACAGTACGAAGTGAGCGAGTGATACAGTAACAGTTTTTCAGTTTAATCACGACGTGGCACCTTACTGGTGGAGGGAAGTCTGCGCGAGGTACATGTAGGCCGTTGACCATTTAACAATCTAAACAATAGATAGCTACGCCTTTGTAGAGAAGTAAAGTGAAGGGGGACATCCTTGCTTCAGGCTGAAAGCCTGCATAACATGTTGTTCGATCGAACATGACTCACTTGCTTGAGAGCATTACATGGAGAACCAATGTCTCTGTCCTTGCTGTATACGAAACTGTTCTGTTATAAAGATAAAACTGAAACACCGATATACAGGAATGATCATGAGCTGTTGAAGGTATTTCGTAGCCTCGGAAGGGGCGGTCGGGTCGCCTAGTGGTTAAAGCGTTCGCTCGTCACGCCGAAGACCCGGGTTCGATTCCCGACCTGGGTACAATATGTGAAGCCCATTTCTGGTGTCCCCCGCCGTGATATTGCTTGAATATTGCTAAAAGCGGCGTAAAACCATACTCTTAGTGTGAACAGCGTATACTTTGGCCTATACCGAAGTTATTTAAATGATATTGTGGGTTCATTATAACCGGAACTAATCTTCATCTGAAATAGTTGATGACGACATGGATGGCTATCTGGATGAGGACTGCGCCACAACTATTCCAGGTAAATGTTTCCACGTGTTAAAATGACTTCAAGCCCATATCTCCAATTGAAAAGTAAAGGGACCCGTTTTGGTCAACAAGATGTCAAATTGCATAATTTAAGAATGAGCAAAAGTTCAGAAAGTTTACATCGCGAATTCGAATAAGAAGAATGGGATATAACAATGTTCAACATTTGCAAATTTTGGACATTTAACACCATGAAATGTCGAGGTAAGGATGAAACATAAAATAATACAATTAAGAAGGACAAATAAGCTTATTTTAGGAGTATTATTAGATTCTTACTTGTATAGATTATAGAATTTCTCTCGAAGAGATATCGTCTCTTTTAACTCATTGAAGCCAATTCTTGTGTCGGTCATATGGACATGCTCAATAATTGTCATAACAAGGGTTCTCTTAATTTTAAAGTTTGACATTTCCAGCATGCCAAAACGGGCCCTTATCACATACTATGTTCCTGGAGGCCTAATGACACCGCCTGTGAACTGTGTGAATATTTTGACATTGATTAAAGGGTTGAATACTTTGAGACGCGTGCCAATTGAATTGTAGTATTTATACACTCCTGTCCTTTAATGGTTTATAATGTAAAAACATCAATATTCTGATTTTGACATTGGTCAATGTTTATATTTTTTTGGTAAAAGTTGAACAGAATTCAGATTTTAATGTTTTACCTTTCACCGTGCGAAGATATCGGTTATCAAGTACATTCACATTGTGTATACGTAGTCTTAATATAAACATAATCATATCAATAAATCCTGAACCGATTTATGAACTACATTAGCATAGAGCTCTCACAAAGAGGTCATTGGAGGTAAGAAAATAAGTATGTGTGCGATGAGGGTTGATGCATTCAGTGTGAAAAAACCCCACCCTTAACATTATTTTCAGTATATTTACCATGCATTGTAATGTCGCATTGTCGCGCTTTCCAAAAAGAAGAAGCAAGTTTTAGTTTTAGTTTTTCACAACCGATATACAATTTGAACGGAAAAACTAGATTTCACAGATTCTCACACACAAATACAGGATACCAGGCAATCCTTTATCCATCCATTCATTTTAATCTCCGAATTTTTGCCATCAATGTCAAATTACCTTTACAAGCGGTGACACATGGTTCACGTTTGTGTGCGGTTGTTTTAAAACTGTGATGCATCGACTCTTTCCATGGGCCTAACGGATTCGACAATCTGTCCATGTTTCCACACAGTTGACGGTTTCTGGTCTGACTGGGGTGCGTGGGGAGACTGCAGCCAAGACTGTGGGGAGGGGATGCAGACCCGGACAAGATCGTGTGACGCTCCCGCCCCAGCCTTCGATGGTCAACCGTGTGCAGGAGACAATAACGACACACAGCTATGTGTAATCTCTTCCCCGTGTTACAACCCGGCATTAGGTAATATAATCTAACTTTATTGCACCGTTTTTTAGTGAAACACTAATTGTCCGGACTAACACATGCCCGCATTAACGAATCGTTGGTAAGCCCCCTCAGTAAATACATAATACCTCCTAACAACATACTGAGGTTTCCACATAAATAAAAACCGACACAACGGGATTTCTATGCATGTTAAGTGCATATAAGTCTTTAATTTTGGACTGGTATGATACCAGGTTTGACATTTGGAGATAAATGACATCGTTCAGTATTTACCATATTTGCTTTTTATGGACACCATCATATCTTTTGTGATATACATTACTCTAAAGAAGTTCAAGGTCATCTGATTCTTTCATATCACTACACTTAATCAGTCATGGATCATATATAGTAAAATGAAAAGATCGGGCATAAGCGATTAACAATTATATTGATAGAACCCGGTGTTCTTTAACTTCTTTGAGTAGAAAACCATAACCTGTAACGAAACTTACCAGCTTTGCATTCTTGTCATCACATGTGTGTGGTAAATGTTGCAAATCTGTCATTCAGATCATAACTTCCTAACACCGTGGATCTGTATTCATCATCGAGAACATGTATCCCTTCCTTATTATCACGCTTGGTATTTAACTCCTGTATTTCCAACATATATGTGGTAAGCGTCTGCATATAACCTTACACTTCCAGGCACCTTTCACAGATCTTTACAAGACGAGGCGGTTTCGTCCCTTCCAGAACCCCCTTTTGCATCAGTGCCTGAGTTGTTTGGAAACAGTGACGTCATTTCGACAACCAGCAGAGATACAAAGTATAACACTGAGATGCGCACGCATTTATTTGAGACTGGGGAGCCTCAATCCTGGGCAGTTGCAGAATCTGGACAAAGCGAACTCATGACTTCAGTTGGCTGGGATGGATATTACCCCACGTCAGTGTCGACACAGAACACTGGGTCTTATAGGTCTGAACGTTCATTCCCTGGCCAAACTGGAATCATCTCATCTTTCAGTGGAGACGCTTATCATGACGCGGATATATTGATACATCCAGAAACAGACAGGACCATCGTTGGGAACATGCTTCAGACAGTAACAGTGTACTCTTTATCTGCGTCGCATCAAAGTAGTCTGAGATCAAACGGTATAGAATCACTAGATGCGTACTCTTCCCCAAGTACGATGAGTAGATCGGTCAGTTCGATGACATCACCCCATGATCTTAGAACGGACGCCTTTGGAGAACTTTCGTTACATACTGGAGATGTTCGCAGGAATACACACTGGAAAATGTCATTTGGTGAAGTTTCATTCTCGGGTAAATCTATACCATATACTAGGGCTCTATCGGACCAATTTACGACCAGGTCACCCAAATTCACATATAGCGACAAGTATGTCACTACCAGGCTCGATGGTCACAGTACTGTTGAGGTAAACGAACTGTATCCTACCACCGTCGCTGAAACTTTATCAAACAGTTTTGGAGTGGAAGAAACAGACATCTTGAAACCAATCTCCAGTGGGCTTGTTGATGTGTCTCAGTCCATCGCTCAGATTACAGAAACTCCCGCTGCTGTCATCAGTGCTGAAAGTGCTCATATTGTCACATCTGGTCCTTACACTGTCAGCCATGTTGCAGGAGCACCACCCCCATCTTCATCGTTGGTAAGGGTTCTACTTTGTTTGTTTTCACGCACTGTAATGTGACCAGTGTGTTAAGTAGGATTTTCGCCGTTGAAAGCAATACGACAGCAATGTGATAGCAAATGAAACTCTAGATGACATAGACTGGTATGTACTTGGCAGAAGTACTCCTGTACGGCGTCAGACCATAAACAGTTACTTTTTATGAAAAGCGGCGGGTGCTTCCGGTAGGGCAGGTCGTGCCTATCCTTTTCGGAAACATCTGGTGTCATCACTTATTTTCAGTAACCCACGCATACACCGCTATTCTGCCTTTTACGCCCAGTGGAACTTGTTTCGGCAGATAATCGAGACTAGTTATTATCTGACATTGACGTTTTATATTTACCACAAGTAACACCAAAAATAAAGCGACTGATAAATCTGACATATTGTAATTTTTACAACTCTGACACCAAATATTCCCAATAAAAGGGAATCGTATCCGACACGAAGCAGCCTTTCTGACACATTTGAGCGTTACCCTTTTCCAAAGTTTAATTTTCTTTTTTTTTTGACATTATTTAGCTTTCCACATGCATGACATTGTATAGATGTCCCAAACATGCAAAAGTGTTGAGAAGATTTAAAAAATGAATATAATCATTTTATCACTTCTAATTTCCTTCGTCATCGATTCTTATGAATGTATACTCCTCCATACAATGAACGCGAATGCATTGTATTGTGGCATTTGTTGGATTCATTGAATGGATGAACGGAAAGCAGCTGAATAATCACATGTGACACACGATGCCACAGTGTACACTAGCTGCTGGTGTGGACATGATATGTCAAAGGCCAAGGCCAGCTGCAATCACTCGACTTCATGTATACAGTTTGATGCTCATACACTTAACACTTTCCATCTCCACGATGGAGACGTGACAGGCCTTTGGCTCAAAATCCTGCCTCACACATGCGGACCCTCGCCGCCTAGGCTGAAATCCTACGCATATCTGGTATGGCGGATGTTCTAGATGTTGTCGTGGGGGTCTGTAGTCGTATGTAACGAGCAATTGTTATTGGCTATGGTGGTCACTTGTAAAGGTCATTTGTTGTCCGATGTTGTTGACCTAAATTAAATTCTCTTCTTCTCCAGCAAGCAAAGTCTCCTGTGCGGCGTCTGTTGTCCTCAAGCTGTATATGTCCGTGCTCTAAGATCACCGATCTGAACAAGGATGAACTGGATGAAGTGACAAGGAGAATTGGGCAGAGGCTTGCTTTGGATAAAGCCAACCTGTCCGCTACTATCAGGAAGCACATCAGTGTCTGGGACGCAAGAAGTTCCTCTCGGACAATAGGGGTAGTTGGGGTCAGTCTCATCATTGGGGTTATCTCCGGGGTCATCCTGCTGGACGTTGGAGCGCTGTTCAGAGACTTCAAAACTCTCTACAGAGACGTGAGGACCTTGTGTGCTTCTAAGGTTTGATTGATCCCGTGATGGCGATATGGTATCGTGGTTTCGGGTTGAACATGTCCAAATAACCATAATGGGTAGAACATCCTTATGTCTATGAATCGATTAAGAAACAAATGTTAGGATCAAAATTGTTCCTTGCATAATAATTGTTGCATTTTGCCTTGCTTGTAAATTGATGTATTATTATTATCAATAATCGTTTGGCCAATTCTTCTCGTCATCCCGTCATATTTTATTTTACTACCAGTGGTTCCAGCTGATAAGATTTCATAATATGTCGTGAAAGATGTTAATTAAGACAAATCCACACAATAAATCAGAGACTTTCTTTCTTAAAATCGCGCGATTAAATATCCCTGCGTTCCATGCAATGTATCAAAACTGAGTGAGTGAGTGAGTGAGTGAGTATGGTTTTACGCCGCTTTTAGCTTTATTCCAGCAATATCACGGAGGGGGACACCAGAAATGGGCTTCACACATTGTACCCATGTCGGGAATCGAACCCGGGTCTTCGGCGTGACGAGCGAACGCTTTAACCACTCGGCTACCCGACCGCCCCGTATCAAAACTAAAAATAATGTCCATTCTTTCTGTGGATGGTACAAAAGCGGTGATTAAAGCGTTCTTGACACTGCCATCTCAGTCCAATAAAGGAACCATATGTGATGGGCGACAAATGATGTAAACATGTATGCTACGAGGGGCGTTCAATAAGTTTTGCAACTTCAATATAAGACCAAGTGAGGTGAATGAAAATTTTATTGAAAAATGAAAGTGCAAAAGATATTCTGCGACTTTGTCTTATATTGAAGTTGCAAAACTTATTGAACGCCCCTCGTATGCTAATGCTCTACGTGTAATCCTCGCAAATATGCGTGAGTGAGTTTAATTTTACGCCGCTGTTAGCATTATTCCAGCAATCTCACGGCGGGGGACACCAGAAATGGGCTTCACAAATTGTACCCATGTCGGGAATCGAACCCGGGTCTTCGGCGTGACGAGCGAACGCTTTAACCACAAAAAGCGACCACCCTCGCAAATATGAAAAGAAACAAGCGTTTCAACTTGTACAATAAGGTACATCATTTATTACTGCAATGTATCTCTACCAAAAGCTCCAAGTACAAAAGAGTATGACAAAATACGCTTCTGCATAATGAAAACGTGAATATTGGCATCATGTTATGATTTTGTTGTTGCGTTTTAACCCTGTACAGTTACGAACACATATGACCTTCCTATTTATAATACAGGGAGATACGTGTACCCATGTGCAACGTTAAAGTTAACAAAATGGTCGCCATGATAGTTTAGCTGAGGGTTGATCAATGACATCTGCCTGCAAATAGTTGGTCCTAGAAGCAATGGAGTGGGATAAAAATTTAGGGGCTGCCATGCCACCTACAGAATTTTGTCAGGGGAAATAATTCATTTACTAGGTTATGACCTCTGTGTCGGGGCGTAGGGTGTGTGTGTGTGTGTGTGTGTGTGTGTGTGTGTGTGTGATATCTGACCCTTTACCAAACACAACTTGTCATAAATTTGATTTCTTAAGGCCAAAATGGTTGTGAAAATTGGTAAAATTACTGGGATAAACAGGTTACCGTTTGTAAACTTATGAAGGGATGTTCAAAAGGAGAAGATACTGAAAACCATCCGAGAAGTGAGAGATGAAAAAAAATCAACACATAGAGACAACCGGTCATTGTTGAAACTTGTAAGTGTAACAGAAGGAAGTCTTTACATGATAGTTCCTCACTACTTAACCCGTCATCACAAGTGACACCATCAAATAGGACAATACGTATACAAAGGCGTTTACATGAAAATGGTTACCGGAGACGGGTAGTTAAAAAGAAAACATCTCCTCTCAAAATCGGTTCAAGCGGAGGGCCTTTCGCTAGATCCCATCTACACTGGACTGTCAAACAACATTGGTCCGAAGTTATATTTCCAGGAGAAACTCGGGTTGCAGTGGGTGAAGATCAGAAAGTTTAGGTTTGGAGGACTAATGAAGAACAGTGGAAGCCGAGATGCGTGAACAAAGAACTGAGTGTCATGTTTTGGGGCTGCATTTGTTTTGAAAGTGTTGGTACCACTATAGCTTTGGATGGTCACATAAAGTCTACACAGTATATTGATATATTAAAAGCCATCATGTGGCCAGTTATTGCCAAAGTTCCAACTGACAAAGGATGTCTTTTTCAAGAGGATAATTGCCCTGTAGACAGGCAACTCAGTGGAAACACAATTATATTCAGACTATGATATCGCCCCGAGTCCCCAGACTGTAATATCCTAGAAGATGTGTGGAGAACTCAGAAAATTAGTCTGTCGAGACAGTTACATGAAATCAAAACCAAACAGGACCTTATTGACCAGGTTATTGACATCTGGACGTCATTGACTTCAGAGTACATAAAGCCACTATATGCCAGTTTACCAAAGAGAATGTGACAGGTACTCTTGGCAAATGTCTGCATTTACAAATAACTTCATTTTCACGTAACGTAATAATCTGTGATCACAATCAAAGCAGTTTTACGGCGGCCATTGTGTGAACTTAATATGGCACCTGAGTGCTCCAATTATCACAAGAGTGTAAACATTGTCTGGTTATTGTGACCATACAATTCTTATATCTAATAATGTAGCATATACTGTTTGAAATCAAGCAAGGAATACAAGCATTTGTTGTTTGACATCATGTACATTCCCTTAAGAATCGCCAAGCACCATCATTTTACTTACGACGTACACGAAACGACACTATTAATAATAACACCTCAAGTATGAAAACACATTTCGTCAATGTAAATACAACAGATTACCGGTATTTGGCCGGAACGTTCAACACCACGGCATGCCATGACGCCATGGTGCAATGGATAACGTCACAAGTGTCCACGACATTTGAACCGATGGAAATAGGAATGCAGAGAAAGTGTTCACACGTTTTTGTACGTTAGAATACTACGCTAGATATTCTTATAACGGTGTAGACACCAATTCGTTCTACGAACTGTTTTCGGCCCTGTAAGCAATCTGGAACAGACCAACCAGTAATTGATATTATGAGCAACGTCTCACGACGTCAGAGTAGGATGACGCACAATCTACCAAGCCATCAAGCCCAGGAACCCCAGCAATTTAGTCGCCATTTACAAGCAGAGATAACCATCATACCTATCCTCTGAGATAACATCTCGTTTGTGACATTATTGTGTATAAATTCCCGTCAGTAAACATATACATACGCTGAAACAACGCTACCATACCTCTGTCATAATATATGGCCTTAATAAGATAATACACAATTCGGGTAGGTAATTCGTAATGAGCATATATACAGCATGTATACAGTAATGGCCGGGACTAAAAAACATTTCGTTACATCCGGCAGTTGGTTGTAGGCGTGTTCATTATGAACGTAGTTAACTGTATATAGTTAAGGTGATGGCAAAATAACTCGTCGGTCTCATTTTGGAGAATCTAAGAAAAGTGAACAAACCTACACGACTGATATACATATAGATAACATTGAAAACAATATGATCTGAGAGTATGTAAGAAAACAGGAGGAATTAAAGCATCATCAAATGGTTCATAGTGTCATGGTTGAATGGAATATAACATCCATTTAGCGGTTCGAACTTTTAACGGTTCTAGTAATTTGATAGCTTACCCTGACAGACTCAAATTTAAAGTAAGTTTCCATATGTAATAATTGAGGAACCAACCTGAAGTGTATTTTGCATGTAGCTTTTCAATCCCTTTCTGAATATTGTACACAGTCATCTCGGACATAAAGTGAGTGAGTGAGTGAGTTGGGTTTAACGCCACTTTTAACAGTATTCCAGTTATATCACGGCGTGTCAGCTTAATGTGGGAGGAAAGCGCGAAGTGATGCAGGTCTCAGACGTTTACCACTTCGGTGAAACCCACGAGCACGGGTATGGTGCTGACAAACCTAGAAACATAATCGGGTCGAACCGGGATTCGAACCCACAATCATAGGTTTCTGGCGTACCCAAGGGACGCAACTCTGCACAGCGAATCGCGGCGCCTTAGACGACTGGGCCACCCGTGCCCCCTCGGACATAAAGAAATTCACTATGAACACAAAGTAATGGCCACACTCAGAGCATAACAGTGGTTTATATTTCTATTAAGATACATCTTTCCGTGCTGCATCCAATGTAAGGTGTATACGACACATTTCTTTCGTTTTCAACACACTTTAATAATCAACTCATAACCTTTTTTCAAATTCGGTGCTGATGACGAAAAGTCGAAAAAGTGTTTTCCTGATTTTTGCGAATATCGACAAAATATACTTCATAATCTGATACAAATTTGGTTGTACACGAATAGTGATGTTTGAATGTGTTTTTAAACTTGTGTGCTAAGTTTTACATCTACGGTTTTGAATACATAAAAAAATATACAAAAATATATTGTACTAAGATCACTTTCAAAATTCAGAATAAAATACAAGGTTTTAAAAAGTCAATATTTTCTAAATGTCACTAGTTCTTCACTAAAATGTCCAACGCTATCCATAATATCCATATAAAAATGAAAACACACAAAGAAGTATTACAGCGTTGATATCTAAGAAGAGATTTACATTTCGTGGTATTCTAAGACTGAATTTTTCTTGTATTAGGTCAACCATGGTCCTCTCGTCAACGCCGTCTTCTACCTTGACGTCAAGCGTCTTCGTTGTGTCGGCATCACCATCAACTGTAATGAAACAAAAGTAACTGTATTAACATGGATTAATTTATGGATACTACTCGTTAGACATTTCAAAAGCCCTGTTCAAAGCATTGGCTCTTTTATTTAGGGCTTTCATTTTGTTGGTAGTCGATAGAATCGAATATGACTAGCCCCAAATCACTGACTTTTCACACTATAGTGATTAGGATATAGCCTTTGAAGTGTATATTTTCTGTCTATAACAAGCAATTACAAGTATCAGGAAATTGACAGATTTTAAAATAATATATTTGTAACATGTATTTACCTATGCTGTGCATTTTAGGTCATCAGGTGATGAATAAACATAATACATATACAGTGCACACATTTGTTATTTTTCGAGCAACATGTGGTCACGTGACTTGATCCAAGATGTCTGACAGTCAAAAATGCTTATAACGAACTACAGTCCTAACGAAGTGAAATTAGTGGTCCCTTTGAGTTCGTTATAAGCGTAGTTTACTGTAATTAAATAGTAAGGCATTGCACCACTGGAATATTGCTGAGTGCGGCGTTAAACAACAAACGAAACAAAAATAAACGAAGGAAGGTATTAACTTTTCATACGCTCGTATGTACATCGACCCATACCTCAATGTCTATTTTTCTTTCCATCGAGAAAAGAAACATGAGGAACTAAGGGAAGTAACTTTTTTTTAACTTTAATTAAATACGCATGCCATTTCTTTGCACGACCGACAATTGATTTTCATGAATGAGAATAATGAAAACAAAAATTACAGGAAAGCGCCTATTTGTCCGTTCCAACCGACCTTAAGGTTTTCTAAAATAAATCCGTCAACTGTGAATGACGAGTCCTTACTCTGTTTGCTGGTCTTGTTGGTTTGCTCTTGTTCCTTCATTCTGTATGGTGCGTTATCCCGGGTGATCTTTTTACGAATACTCCAGTATGTTAATCCCTCAGTCTGTAAACAGCGAAAGTAGTCATTATTACCATCGGCCTCGGGTATTACGCCTTCACTTTAGTCAATCTCATTTAAATCAGACCTTAGTTCTCGCTACCGCTAAACAAAGATCTGAGGACATCCCATTACGGGTCACGTCAGACCGACCTTGTGGGAACTTTGACCGACCAATCGAATGACCAATCAGAAGGCTGCTTTCTCGTGCTTTACGGCAATAATTCCAAATTGGCGACTACGCTTCGAAACATATTTTGACAAATTCTCGATTACAAATTTGAAACCTAAACAAAAGAACATTCTGGAATGGCTAATAGATGGTCTAGATTGTATGGATTCAGTCGTTTAACCTGTAACTATCGTTCGGAATACCCCGTGTTAAAGTTTTCGAGGTTCTATGATTAGAAATCACATTCCGACTGTCACTTTCATGAACTGGTAGGCGACGCTCTCATTGGTCGGATGAAAGGTCTGTCTGACGTGACCCGTAATGGGATGTCTTCAGATCTTTGTTTAGCGGTAGCGAGAACTAAGGTCTGATTTTAATGAGATTGTCATTTTAGTGTAACAATTATGAATGCCCTTGACCCCTGCACTACGGTTCATTCGCCTACCGAAAATTACTGAAAAAAAGAAGTACTACATTAAAAGTTGAGTTGACCTGCGAAGTGAGTGACTGAATGTATGACGCTGCAGTCAACAATGTTCTAATTTTACCACAGTGGTCTGTAAGCGACTGGACCAGGGCAACCAGTGGTTGATAGCATGAATACGCTGAGACACTTCCAGGTTACACATCCTAATCTCCCTCTGACAGCAAGCATTGAATACTGAGGACCATTTATTCTCAGTATCAGTGGGGACTTCTATGTACATGCAATAACAATAGTTTGCTGACATCAACCAGTTTGAAAACGTTTAGTCCGCTATTCAACATACATCGAGTTATGGGAACCGTCTCCCCTTACAAAGGGATATAATCGGTGAAACGGTACTGTTCAGGATTGACTACTTACAAGTTCCTTGTCCGGCTTTTCCGTCATGAGGCTCACGGCAAAGGCAATAATGGTGGTCACGCAGAGGACAATCCCCGAGAAATAAGTGAAATGCACCTTGGACACCACAGTGGGCCTGTCGTCCACGTTGCCGCATCCAGGGGAGGGGTACACGAAGTCCAGGACGAGGCGACAGACCCCAACAACTTGTCCCACTGCCACGCCCCAAAACGCACCCTATTATGTAAAAAACACATACATTATACAAATTTGCTTTATCAAGGTAAATCCCCCAGAAATCTGACTTTTTTTACATATTCAAAACTTTGAGTTGACAAGGCTTCACTTAACTGAATATCACACCATTATTAAAAGTAGGGATGATATAAACTTATGATGACGAGGAATGAATAACTGATGACAATTACAAACAAAATATGAATATACCAACGGAAAAACGTAACTGTGCTTCATTATACTGCAGTTCATTTTTTCTGAAACTAAATAATGCATCTTTCAATACATATTCATGCAGACATCGGCTTTAAGGTCGTGATTCACGATTTGCACGTGCATGTTTGCGGCGTACAATTTGGATGTTTGTGTGTTTGATTGGGAGCATGATACTCACACACGTGGTTGTTTAATGTGAACAGCACACAATTACTGCTCATAAAAAACTCTTTGGTTTTGGTGCTTCACTCCGCGGACACTTGAATGTTCATCGAAACACAACATCTCTTTGGAAACGTGATCTACAGCAGGGCAACATTCATGACTTGCCACGCAAACAAGGCAACCCTTTTCGGTTGGTGCATTTACGGAATCGATATCAAACTGCCACATTAACAGATCGGACAATTCCTGGGTTTAGTCCAATTATCGGCAGACCCGTACACAACCGATTGAAGGAGCACAACATCGGACCCCGACGTCCAGCGACTCGCCCAATGTTCCTTTCACTTCACCCTTAGGGTCGCCTAGCTTGGTGTAGACAGCGTCTGAGGTTAAGAATAGAAGGTTCAGAATACAAGAGGGTCACATACTGTTCACTGATGAGTCCAGGCGTCTTCAGGACAGTTCTGATGATCGTGCAAAGGTCTACAGGCTTCCAGGAGAACGTTTTAGCGACGCTTGCGTTACTCAACGTCGTCGTCAGTTTAGGGGTGGAAGTGTAATGGTAAGGGGTGGCATCACCACTCATGGATAAACACAACTCATCATTGTTATTGGCAATGTGCATGGCCTACGCTACCGGGACGACATCTTTCGCGATACAAGTTCTACCTCTTGTGCAATGCAGGGACGTAACGTCACGTAGCACCAGGATAATGTCCGCCCACGTTTTGCACGTGTTGTGCATATATTGTGAGGCAGCACAACATTGCTGTAGTGCCATGCCCGCTGTTTCTCCACACCCCTGGGATGAGATAGCCGACGCCTACGACAAGACCAGAACCATTTGACATTTGGAACAACACCCAGGATATTTTCCACCCTCTGATGTCTTCAAAGCGCCGCGTTTGCCTCGCCTGTATCAACGCAGATGGTGTTCACACCCGATTTTGACATTGTAATTGAGTTGTTCATACCCCTCTTTAAGGCTTGTCGTTCTGTCTCCTATCACCAGGTATTGTTTTTCTGAGCGTTGTTATTTTCTATAACATGACATTTCCCAACTTTATATGTATCACGGTTTACTCTTTTACTTTTTTCCAAAATTATTTGTATCATCCAAAACTAGCTTCGATATCGCTTCAAAGAAATTACCTCACAATGCTTTGCAGACCATTGTGATGTCATCACAATCAAAGGGCACCACTGATATTTCTGCCACTGAAGCTGGTTATATACTCAAGACACTAGTTATTACTGTTTTGAAATGAAAAACTCTTAGAATAAAGAGTTTGGAAATGTTTCAGTTGAATCTCACCCTCGTATCTTTTGACATCAGATATACACTCACGGACAAAAGAAACTCGAATACCATTATATTATGATATATATCGGTTAATATATGAAGAATTACTCATATTCAAGAGATATTAGATTGGTTTGATGTACACACGAACATACTGGTTTGTTGTGTGAACCGACGTTGATGAACGCATCACATGTGACGTTATTGATCCATGACTGGGGATACACCATTTGTCTCGTGTAGGATTAGCCTCTTAAGTCTGGAAATCACGAGCAGCATAGTGTGATACAACTAAAGACACGCTGTGGTAACACTTGACTGATTATTTGGTACACATTGGAAATATATCTGTTTAACGTACATACTTCTATGTATGTTACTGTGGTTCGCATTCTTTTGGCGGTGAGTACATTAACACTTCTCGACGAGCTTCAGCGTATTAACTTTTATCGAATCGTGTTGATATATTTGATATCAAAGACACTCGGGCAGAGCTTCCCAATACAACTCCACAAGAATCAATGTAAATAGCACACCAAAGTCGAGATATATTACTTTGTAAAAGTTCTATAATTACATATTCACAAAATAGTATTGATAATGTACTGGCCTTTTCATTAATTCTGGGTACAAATATAGCGAGGATGAAGAGGGCGCAGATAGGTGGCGCAATGTAGCCATTGACAGCCTGGATGTAGAGGAAGAGTTGCCCTTCCTGGGAGGACATTATCAGTGGAATCCAAGCCAGACTCACAGCAACAAGCACCAAAACAAATGCCCTGCAATAGTGAAGATGTTATAAGCGAGTAAGTGAAGTGAGTTGGGTTTTACGCCATTCTAAGAAATAATGACTTCAAAGCCACAATCATGCATTGCAGCTGTGGTGACAACCGTCTTGTGTACAGATGCGTTGTTCTCGTTACCCAACACCTTTAGTGAGATGTATGCTCACACAGGTGCAATAGGGCTCCACAACTCATTCTTGGCGTGAAAGGCGATTATGATTGTCGTAAGAGGGGACCAACGGTATCGGGTGGTCAGGCTCGTTGACTTGGCTGATGCATGTCATCGTATCCCAATTGAGTGGATCGATCACGGGATTCTCTGGTCCAGACTCGATTATTCACAGACCGACGTCATAGAGCTGGAATATTGTTGAGTGCGTTGTTAAACAACAAACAAACAAACAAACAACAGGATGTCACAAGAGTTTTGTTTGGATACAAAGTGAAATTAGAATTTGTGGAAACAATTATGTGATATGACTAATTATTTACCGATTTCAAAATAAAATTTTCGTGATCTCTATTAATCATTTATTACAATGGTACACTGCATTTTGATATTGTTATCTTAAGATGATCTTCACGAGGCAAGGGGGTTAACTGACTGTAAAAGTCCAGTTTCCACCCTTGTCGAACTAGGCTGGAATTTCTGGGCTCGATCGTAGCGCCAACAGTGTATATTACGAGTCAAGTCCCTTCTATTGGACCGCCTCCGTTGTCTAGTGGTAGAGCGTCCGCCCGGAGAGAGGAAGGTCCGGGGTTCGATTCCCGGCCGCGTCATACCAAAAGACGTTAAAAGATGGTACTTGTTGTTACCCTGTCTGGCGCTCGGCATTAAGGGGCTAAAAGAAGGACTGGTCGGCTCGGAGTCAGTATACTGTGTCTGAGTGGGGTATTCATGTTAAACTGCGGCATGGTATCTCAGTGAGCTAGCACTATAAATCAGCATCAGTCCGGACTGGTACAAGCAGCCACACAAACACACACATGTACATGCTCGTCGCTATATAAGTGCAATAATCTTAGACGCGACGTTAAACCCAATTTCACCTCACCTCACCCTTCTATTGACCAATCAGATTCCACCTCTCATATCACTTTCATTTGCTTCAAACAAAATGGCGGCGCCCAGTCAAGACGATCTGATCGATAATCAAGATATTTTTTGTAATAAAATGGGTCTTATTTCGCAGAGTGCATCATATCACGTGAGCACCTTGATAAAAGACATGAAAGGATTTGGGATATGTTGGCGCTGCATTGACGGAAAATGCTGAAGAAATGCGGAACAGAAATCAGATCTAGCAGGTAGAAAAATATCCAAAATGCAAAAAGAAACGTTAGCGGTGGGCCGATGGCCTAAGATCCATCAATGGAAACACGAGATCTTTCTAATGACCTTGGGTCGGTGGGGTAGCCTTGCGGTTAAAGCGATCGCTCGTCACGCCGAAGACCCGGGTTCGATTCCCGACATGGGTACAATGTGTGAAGCCTATTTCTGGTGTCTCTCGCCGTGATATTGCTGGACTTTTGCTAAAAGCGGCGTAAAAGCAAACTCACTCACTCACTCTACATGGCCTTACCTGCCGACGATGAGAAGCTCCCGTTCTGTAGCGGCTGGCCTCGCTTTTCTCCATAGGTCCATGGTGAACACTGTGCCTGCGCTATTGAACACCGACGTCAGCGAACTCATCAACGCCGCTAGCATCACCGCCATCATTAAGCCACGGAGTCCTGCAGTAAACACACCCTTTTTAAACCATCTACTTTTACAGTGATAAACGGTAGTGCCTTGCTGATTGGCTCTAGGGGTGGCCTATCTCAAAAGTCCAACTTACTCAAATCATACTGTAAATTTGAGATATTACTTGTTACAATGAAAGGTTGACGAAGACGATTCGTGCAAGTACAGAAATAGTTTCACTATTCTGCTGATGAGGGCAACCGTACTATTTTCTGTATATTTTTGTAATATATCTGTATATTCAGTAAATATACATCGAAGACAAAGAAGGTGAAGCCATGCAAATAAATACCTTCCGTTTTTAGTTGGAAAGAAAACGAAACATCAACGTAACCTGTTTATCACCAACTTTGGGGCTGAAACATTATTGATAGAACTTACGTAGTAAGCATGTTTGCCAAAAGATAACCCGCATTGTCTGTGAAATATTCATTTTTACCCTCGCTAGTATTCAGGAATACTGAATAACGGGCCAACCGTTTGATATTCTTATAAAAAATTAACAAAAATATTGATAATACACTGAACATGCTGGATGTTAAAAGAAATGGAGTTCTCGCTCCTTCAAAGAAAATTGAATGTATTGAAACACTGACATATTCTTTCAAAGATCGAAGCCCCAATCTCCACAAGAATATGGCCGGTGCCTAAACTGCCTGGGAAGCTCACCAATGGGTGCCAGGGTGAGGATGAGCTTTGGGTAGGCGATGTTGGAGCATCCCGCCTCGTTGCCACACACCTCTAAACACGTTGCGGGGTCTGAGCAGGCCACTTCAGCTGAAAGCGTCAAATCCTAGAATGAGTTATACTTCTACGAATACATGTACTTCTAGTACTTCTATCATACTTCTAGTACATGGCGTTGTAGGTCACGTTACTGTTAATCAACATAAGACAAACCGCAGTGTATCATGTCCTTTATCCCCGGTCTGTCACGGCTTAGAGTGCTATGATCCCACACCATGCACCCGAGACGTGTGCAAGACGTCTGAATTGTGTATTCGTACTATATTGTCTAACCATCAGCTCTATCCTCTTAACGATACCGACCTCTCCCAAGTTCTTCAAATATGGACTGATCGCGAATCTCTGTTCGCTGTCAGCGGTATTGTGGACCTATTCTGAAGCACCTACACCTACCTATACTAGCTTCTGATTGGTTAAGGAGCGGCAATTATTTTCTATGTAACTCGCTCATGTACCCAGCTCATATATCCCGCCCGCTGAGAAATCAATCGAAACACATCTTAGGTAACTTGATCATCTCGCTGAAAAGAAACGATGGTTATCCGAATGCATTGAGTAAAGGGAAGTAATTCAAATTGCGTCGTCTGGTAGCTGTCATAATCGCTGAATCAAAGCGTTTTTCTCGGTGAAATTTCGGACATGTATTCTGTGTCTGGAAGAATGAATGCCGGTGAGGTACATTTGATCCATCGGGGCATAAATTGTGATGTACCTAGTGTCTGAGCCTGACGGCTCGGGGTACATAGGTTCACCCACAGGGTACTTCACACCATATAGCCCTCGAAATCGGTTGACAACTTATATTGTACCCAAGGGGGGAATCGAACCGTGCTTTTCGGCGTGACGCGTGAACGCTTTAACCACTGTTGCGGAGGACTGCCTGACTGAGTATTGTTTTACGCCGCTTTTAGCAATATTCAAGCAATATCACGGCGGGGGACACCAGAAATGGGCTTGGCACATGGTACCCATGTCGAGAATCGAACCCGGGTCTTCGGCGTGACGAGCGAACGCTTTAACGACTGGGCCACCCGACCGCCCCTGTTGCGGAGGACTGCCTGACTGAGTATGGTTTTACGCTGCTTTTAACAATATTCCAGCAATATCACCGCGGGGGACACCAGAAATGGGCTTGGCACATGGTACCCATGTCGAGAATCGAACCCGGGTCTTCGGCGTGACGAGCGAACGCTTTAACGACTGGGCCACCCGACCGCCCCTGTTGCGGAGGACTGCCTGACTGAGTATGGTTTTACGCTGCTTTTAACAATATTCCAGCAATATCACCGCGGGGGACACCAGAAATGGGCTTGGCACATGGTACCCATGTCGGGAATCGAACCCGGGTCTTCGGCGTGACGAGCGAACGCTTTAACCACTAGGCTACCCCACCGCCCCTGTAGCGGAGGAGGAGAACACAGACGCTTACATGTATAGAGGACCCTGCTGATCATGCCAGGGAGGATGATGAGGAACAGTGGTAGGATCTTGAGGTACCCAGCCAACACTGTGGCGCCCTTGGCGTGAGCCATATTTTTGGCAGCAAGTGCTCTCTGGACTAAAACCTGAAAAAGATGAACAGCTTAATCAAAAAACTTAACTGAAATAACACAAATTGTTTTCCTTCATAGTGTACAGTGTGAAAGTTAACAAACACGCTACTTGGATGTTTCTACTCAGACAAGCTCAAACATAGCCCTGAAACATCGTGACAAAGAATAATGAAGATTTAATCCATAAAAAAGTATCAGGTTCATCATAGCATAGCATAGCATAGCATAGCATAGCATAGCATAGCATAGCACACACACACAGACAGACAGATACACACACACACACACACTGTGCTGAATCTCGCTACAATATGGATGTTTTTTTACACACACATTTGTGCTTAATCTCGCCACAAAATGGATGTTTATATGCATAAGTCTTTCATTCACAAGTATTTTTTTGCCAACAACATTTGCAGGATTGCAGAAAAATATAATATTCATAATATAATGCATATAAGCATGATATAAGAATACAAACATGTATTAATTCAAAGGCAGACAACTATATAGGTAAGGAGGTGAAATTCTCACCTGGTCAGCACACCACGCCCACAGCGACGCCACAGTGGACCTGATTATGATCCCTGGCCAGGGAAGGTCGGCGGTGACGGGATCGCGGAAGATGTGAAAGGCGTCTTGGCGAGGCATCCCGCATGTGTTGATCCTCGTCACATTGGTCTCAGGTATGGCAAAGAAGTATTTGGTGTAGAGTCCGTCCATCCCTCCCACTTGGACGAAAGCTGAAATTCAGTATTTTGAACAGGATGTAAGAATGCCTACGACAATGTTCAGAGCCTACACAAACGTGTGGAGCAAACAGTGACGTTGGTTAACGCCGCACTCAGCAATATTGAAGCAATATGAAAATATATCTGTAAATCATCGAGTCTGGAGACAATCTCGAGACAATCCATCGACTGACATCATGAGCATCGATCCACGCAATTGCGATACGATGACATGCATCAACAAAGTCAGCAAGCATGACCACCCGATCCCGTTAGCCACCACCAAGACAAGCATAGTTGCCTTTTACGGCAAGCGTGGGTTGCTGAAGACCTATTTACCCCGGATCTTTACGGGTCTAACCAAACAAGTATAAACAAGACATATATAAAGCGATGAATAGGATGAAGGATATCATAAATGGTTAAAGCTGAATGGCCAACACAATGGGTTTAATGGGTTTTATTAAATTGTACAACACAGAATAAAAACAAACAACGAATGTATGACGACAGTGACCGTTATTTTTCCCATGACCATTTGACCACTAGCATAATAAAGGGTACAACATATTAAGTTTGGCTGGAAATGGAGGATTACAAACACTACATTAAATATTATAATATCATATCATTAAATAAATAATGGCATATCTACTATCAACATTAAATACAAAATCAACAGAGAATGTATGTTGACAACGGCTCTTCTATATCCACTTGTATGATATAAATATTCTTTGTTATATTATTTTTATTTTTATTGTTCTGTTTTAAATCACCTACATACATACAGTGAGAGTCTAACCCCGTTATCGCGAACCTATTCTCAGGTCCCGGTAGCCCCACAATATAAATACATAACATTTGCTCGCTTTCATCGAATTCGAGATACCAATTCATAGGGAAAACTCGAATATTGGATTTTGTACCTTTATCTCGAAATTGGCATTTGCCACGTTAACAGAGAAGCACCAATCATCATCTCTCACAGCGCTGAGCAATTCTAGAAACATCTTGCACCTTTCTTCACACATCTTATAATTACATCGCTGTAAAATAGTACAGTGCAATTTGAACCAAATGTTCCAAAACATGCTGATCAAAGTCGGATCAAGTCTCGTGACACATGACACATGCTTTTCTATGGTGGCCGTGATAAAGTTATACCACGAGACGAGAAAACTATAACACGATACGAGAAAGATATCACACAGCCATAACACGAGACGAAAAAGCTATAACACGATACGAGAAAGCTATAACAAAGCTATAACAGGAGACGAGAAAGCTATAACACGATACGAGAAAGATATAACAAAGCCATAACAGGAGACGAGAAAGCTATAACACGATACGAGAAAGATATAACAAAGCCATAACATGAGACGAGAAAGCTATAACTTGAGACGAGAAAGCTATAACAAAGCTATAACATGAGACGAGAAAGCTATAACATGATACGAGAAAGATATAACAAAGCCATAACATGTGACGAGAAAGCTATAAGTCGAGACAAGAAAGCCATAATGCCAGACGAGAAAGCTATAACATGAGACGAGAAAGCTATAACAAAGTTATAACACCAGACGAAAAAGCGGTGTCGCGTTCTCGTCTCGTGCTATCGCCTTTATGTCTGTTCTTATCGCTTTCTCGTCTCGTGTTATCTCTTTCCCGTGGCAGAAACTAGGTCGATAAAGTGATGTCCCGTCACGGATAGCTGCACATTTGAGCAGAACACTCACCCATGATCGCCAGTGTCACGGCTCCCACAAGCATCACGATAGTCTGAAGGGTGTCCGTGAACACTACCGCTGCAAGACCCCCTGAAACACATTGTTAACATATTGGATGGTGGTATTCATGCATAACCATTCAGACATTATCAAGTTGTTATCCAAAGTTAATCATTATAAGTTTGCGTATCATAACACGTGCCCTACACTTTCGATGAATCAAGTAAAAAAGGCAAATGACATTCTCTGTTTTCCCTACCAACAAAAAAATAAAAATAATTCCCAAAACATACTCACAGGAAAAACACCCACCCCTTTAAAAGCCAACCTACATGCAGAGAACTGCTTTTGAACTATTTGCTTCGTTATAAGCGATGTTTGCAACATCGAACTTAATTTATCCAAATTTGACTACAAAGAAACAACGAATCTATTTCAGCAGCGAATGACAAAGTGGTGTGCTGCAAACAGCGGTTTATATGTGACAGTATGGTTGTACGGCGTTTTATCAGCATTTCAGGGGTGACAGGGTAGGGAGTTGGGTGGGGGCACCAGAAATAGGCTCCACACATTGCACTAATGTAAGGAATCGAGCCCGGGTCTTCCGCGTAACTAGACAAACGCTTTCACCATTTAACCACTCTGTTTTCCCGCTGCCCTACTACCGAACATAATCATTAGACACATTGCATGAACTGCTATAACGCACCAGCAGTCTCAACAACATCATCAAGGTAGCAGCAATCGAGTCATATAGGGGTTATGGGTATGTTCTGAACCTCACATGGAAAGAATTGACCTAAATACATTAAAAATGATTTATTTTTCACCATCACCCACTTCTACACTGATACACTTTTGCCAACGATGTTGGGACGATTTTATACCAGCTTCGTAGAAGTCCTTCTTTTGGCAGTCTACAGTTCTCCACAGTTGCTAAGATATCATCGTTCGTGTCGAAATGGATTCTGGCTAAAGCGTTCTTCATGCTTGGGAACAGATACAACTATTGCGTAGCCTGATCAAGAAATTAAGGTGGGTGCTGAAGGGGACCAAATCAACACTCGAATACTGACTCATTGCCCTGATGGAAGAGCACACCTTCTCAGTTTCTTCTTTTTTTATTCACGTAGTTACCAAAACAATGCAGGAGAAGACGCATGTTTGTTTGGCCTCTTGGAAGAGAGTCAACCGTGTTGACATCATCGACATCATCCAAGAACATGGATGCCAGTCCAGCTTTTGGGACTGCCTTTGTCTTCTCTGGTGGTGGTGATGTTAAATGCTTCCACTGTCTTGGTTGTTGTTTGTACTCAGCTGTCATCCTTATTCACAAACCGTTGCAAGAACCTTTCTGTTTCAGCTCCAGACAGAGCTAGATTATCCTTGTGTGTTTTTATCAGGTTTCAGAAGCTTTGGAGGTGAGGTGAGGTGAGGTGAGATGAGATGAGATGAGATGAGATGAGATGAGATGAGATGAGGTGAGGTGAGGTGAGGTGAGGTGAGGTGAGGTGAGGTGAAATGGGGTTGAACATCGCGTTCCAGATTATTGCACTTATAAAGTGCATGTACGGATGTGTGTGTCTGATTGTACTTGTCTGGACCAGCCCATTGAGATACCATATCGAAGTTTAACATGAATACTGACTCCGAGCCGACCACTCCTTGTTTTAGTTCCTTAAAGCCAAGCGCCAGACAGGGTAACAACAAGTACCATCTTTTAACGCCTTTTGGTATGAAGCGACCGGGGATCGAAGCCCCGACCTTCCGCTCTCCATGCGGACGCTCTACAACTGGATCACGGATGTGTCCAGAAGCTTTGGAACCCAACGAGTTACTTCCCCGTCAACGTTTCTGTGATAACGGAATGTACTCTCTCCGGGTAATTACGCCGGTCGATCATTACCATAGCGTGGATTATCTGGATCATTCCTGGTGCTGCTGACGTGAAGGCCGCCCAGGACGGGGTCGTCTTTATGGCTCTCCCTGACACACTTAAACTCTACTGCCCATCTACGGTGGCATAGGAAGTCCTTCCCAAATGTTTTACTCCTATCTTCAGGGATGGTTATTGGTGTTTAGCCCCTTTGATGCAAATTCCTTATTTTTTTGCATTTATCATAGGTCTCAAACCCTTCCTTATTTAAGCTGACGCAGCGAAACAATGATTCCGCAAATGACTCAAGTTTTTTTTCTGCCCATTCCTCTATGGAATCGTGTGATGTCCACAGCAATAGATTTCATTATTGCTCAATTCCTTCTATGTGAGTCTCAGAACCTATCAACTTAAACAACAAGCAACGATCCACCCTGTGGACAAGCAGTCACGCAGTCTCAATACATATTTACAGGGACAGGTCCTACCCGGAGTATCTACGCTGTCAGATAAGTCACAGTTGTAATTCTCTTTATCCAGAAGTGACATACCTTATTTCACAAGATATAGCAAGCATAGCAATTTCAAATCACATTTATGCTTAGGAGTGAACTACTTTTAACGCGTCTTGTGACGTAATACTATGACGTCTCAATGATTTAATGAATGAATCACAGGGAATGACGTCACCCACTGATAAACCAATAGACTGACTCAATCACTGGAGGAGACTAGTAATCAGGTTCAAACATCAATATGCATTCTCTATCACAGTTAGCGAAGTTAAGTTGTTTTGATTCATCCTACTCAAATATTGATCTCGTACAAAACAAACCTACAATGTTTCAATACTGTTTAATTAAGACACTTTGAATTTTCCCATGTTAAGCATAGATTTGCTAATTGCTCCGCGAACAGCATACCGACAACTGTGTAGAGAGCGGTCACGGCCAGCAGTGGCACAATGGACAGATAGATGTTCCATCCTGCTGCTTGTTGAATGAATACAGCCCCGGCGTAGATGTCTACCTGTAGACAGAGGCATAGGGTGAAACGTCATCGTCCTATCATGTCAAAATGGCGTTGTACCAAGGGGAGCAGAATATTGAATTCATTATTTTAAAATGTTAAAACCTTAATCGTCATAGTAGACCTACATGATAAAATGTCGTCTTTAGCTTTATAACAAGGGTAGAAAAAATTGATTTGAACATCTTTGTCCCTTAAAATTGTTTTGTCAAGTCTTCTTACGATCGACCGACTGTCTTCCAAGTTTGTACACCTGTCTACTATCTGTCTTCCTATTTAGCCTACCTGTCTACCGATAAACCGTCCTTCTATCTGTATTCCTATTTAATCTACCATCCACAAAGCCGTCTTCCTATTTAGTCCCTCCGTCTATCGATCTTCCGTCCATCCACCTGTCTTCCTATTTAGGCCATCTGTCCATCGATCTACCGTCCATCCATCTGTCTGCCTATTTAGTCCCTCCGTCTATCGATCTACCGTCCATCCACCTGTCTTCCTATTTAGTCCATCTGTCTATCGATCTACCGCCCATCCTTCTGTCTTCCTATTTAGTCCATCTGTCTATCGATCTACCGTCCATCCATCTGTCTTCCTATTTAGTCCATCTGTCTATCGATCTACCGTCCATCCATCTGTCTGCCTATTTAGTCCATCTGTCTATCGATCTACCGTCCATCCACCTGTCTTCCTATTAAGTCCATCTGTCTATCGATCTACCGTCCATCCACCTGTCTTCCTATTTAGTCCATCTGTCTATCGATCTACCGTCCATCCACCAGTCTTCCTATTAAGTCCATCTGTCTATTGATCTACCGTCCATCCATCTGTCTTCCTATTTAGTCCATCCATCTATCGATCTATCGTCCATCCATCTGTCTTCCTATTTAGTCCATCTGTCTATTGATCTACCGTCCATCCATCTGTCTTCCTATTTAGTCCATCTGTCTATCGATCTACCGTCCATCCATCTGTCTTCCTATTTAGTCCCTCCATCTACCGTCCATCCACCTGTCTTCCTATTTAGTCCATCTGTCTATCGATCTACCGTCCATCCATCTGTCTTCCTATTTAGTCCCTCCGTCTATCGATCTTCCGTCCATCCACCTGTCTTCCTATATAGTCCATCTGTCCATCGATCTACCGTCCATCCACCTGTCTTCCTATTTAGTCCATCTGTCTATCGATCTACGGTCCATCCACCTGTCTTCCTATTTAGTCCATATGTCTATCGATCTACCGTCCATCCATCTATCTTCCTATTTAGTCCATCTCTCGATCGATCTACCGTCCATCCATCTGTCTTCCTATTTAGTCCCTCCGTCTATCGATCTACCGTCCATCCATCTGTCTTCCTATTTAGTCCCTCCGTCTATCTATCTTCCGTCCACCCACCTGTCTTCCTATTTAGTCCATCTCTCAAACGATCTACCGTCCATCCATCTGTCTTCCTATTTAGTCAATCCGTCTATCGATCTACCGTCCATCCATCTGTCTTCCTATTTAGTCCCTCCGTCTATCTATCTTCCGTCCACCCACCTGTCTTCCTATTTAGTCCATCTCTCTATCGATCTACCGTCCATCCATCTGTCTTCCTATTTAGTCCCTCCTTCTATCGATCTACCGTCCATCCATCTGTCTTCCTATTTAGTCCCTCCATCTATCGATCTACCGTCCATCCACCTGTCTTCCTATTTAGTCCATCTGTCTATCGATCTACCGTCCATCCATCTATCTTCCTATTTAGTCCATCTGTCTATCGATCTATCGTCCATCCATCTGTCTTCCTATTTAGTCCATCTGTCTATCGATCTACCGTCCATCCATCTGTCTGCCTATTTAGTCCCTCCATCTATCGATCTACCGTCCATCCACCTGTCTTCCTATTTAGTCCATCTGTCTATCGATCTATCGTCCATCCACCTGTCTTCCTATTTAGTCCCTCCGTCTATCGATCTTCCGTCCATCCACCTGTCTTCCTATATAGTCCATCTGTCAATCGATCTACCGTCCATCCACCTGTCTTCCAATTTAGTTCATCTGTCTATCGATCTACCGTCCATCCATCTGTTTTCTTATTTAGTCCCTCCGTCTATCGATCTACCGTCCATCCACCTGTCTTCCTATTTAGTCCCTCTGTCTATCTATCTTCTGTCCACCCACCTGTCTTCCTATTTAGTCCATCTGCCTATCTATCTTCCGTCCACCCACCTGTCTTCCTATTTAGTCCATCTGTCTATCGATCTACCGTCCACCCACCTGTCTTCCTATTTAGTCCATCTGTCAAATCGATCTACCGTCCATCCATCTGTCTTCCTATTTAGTCAATCCGTCTATCGATCTACCGTCCAGCAATATGTCCGCCTATTTAGTCCCTCCGTCTATCGATCTTCCGTCCATCACCTGTCTTCCTATTTAGTCCATCTGTCTATCGATCTACCGTCCATCCATCTGTCTTCCTATTTAGTCCCTCCGTCTATCGATCTTCCGTCCATCCACCTGTCTTCCTATTTAGTCCCTCTGTCTATCTATCTTCTGTCCACGCACCTGTCTTCCTATTTAGTCCATCTGCCTATCTATCTTCCGTCCACCCACCTGTCTTCCTATTTAGTCCCTCTGTCTATCGATCTACCGTCCACCCACCTGTCTTCCTATTTAGTCCATCTGTCAAATCGATCTACCGTCCATCCATCTGTCTTCCTATTTAGTCAATCCGTCTATCGATCTACCGTCCAGCAATATGTCCGCCTATTTACTCCCTCCGTCTATCGATCTTCCGTCCATCACCTGTCTTCCTATTTAGTCCATCTGTCTATCGATCTACCGTCCATCCATCTGTCTTCCTATTTAGTCCCTCCGTCTATCGATCTTCCGTCCATCCACCTGTCTTCCTATTTGGTCCATCTGTCTATCGATCTACCGTCCATCCATCTGTCTTCCTATTTAGTCCCTCCGTCTATCGATCTACCGTCCATCCATCTGTCTTCCTATTTAGTCCATCTGTCTATCGATCTGCCGTCCATCATCTGTCTTCCTTTTTAGTCCATCCGTCTATCGATCTACCGTCCATCCATCTGTCTTCCTATTAAGTCCCTCCGTCTATCGATCTACCGTCCATCCATCTGTCTTCCTATTTAGTCCATCTGTCTATCGATCTACCGTCCATCCATTTGTCTTCCTATTTAGTCCATCTGTCTACCATCTGGCTTCCTATTTAGTCCATCTGTCTACCACCTGTCTTCCTATTTCGTTCATCTGTCTATCAATTTACCGTCCGTCCACCTGTGTTTACAGATTAAAAAGAGAATGGATTTTTATTCTCATCATCAGCTCGGGGCCCTTGCCCCGTCTACACTTTCCGGTGAATGTGAAGACTCTCAAACACTGCAGCCATCTGCATTACACAGATCGTCAGGAGGGCTGTATTCTTGACAGCAAACCCGGGTACTCTCCCAATGTCAGTCAACAGAGGTTCCAAACTTAAGGTACTAAGAACAATGGGGAGTCGGACATCTTGGTACTTCGGATGCAAGCATGACATTCGTCAGCAAGGTCCGCATATTTGCCATGTTTTTCCTGAATCTTGTAAATCACATAAGTGTCCAAAGGGACAGAAAATTCAATGATCTAAATGGATAAGATCCGGGTTGTTGGCCTAGATAGGTCTAAGGCTGTATACGGTCCTATTCCAGAGAATTTCGTATTTATCATTTTCTGTGACGCCCTTAACATATTCTGGGTCGTACCATGGATGGACCTCTGTGTCAAAACCACAAGCATGGCGAGGATGGTAATAAAGGGAACGAGCCTCTCCATCACGTCGCTTTAGATATTGTGTCTGTGCCAGAGCTGGGCATCCAGTGACAATGTGTTGGACAGTCCCATTAAATTCATTGCATAATCAACATTTCATAGTATTTCACACATTGACGGTTTCGAGTGAAAACTGACTAATCCTGAGCAGCAAACAGAAAGCCTTCTGTATATCTTTTCAGGTCAGCCGACTTCATCGATGCGAAGGACTCTGCCGGGTTGCTGAACTTCTCAACACACTACACGTAAATTCGATACAGCGGTGGTTCAGAAAGCCTCTCTTTGAAAAACTGAGTCCGTGACGATTTGATATGGCACTTCGTTTGGTTGACACTCTTTTCTGCACCGTCCAGCAGTACAAAACCATCAACAAAATCAACACAGACATAGAGATTATGCCCCACGTACTAGGCTCGTTTAAGGAAAACTGTGGAATGCCTTGACATGTTTTACTAGAGGATCATCAGACAAATAAATGTGTGCGAAAGTGCATAATACAATTCTATCATGAAGAGTCTATAAGTTAATCAAACCACGTCCTCCCATCATAACTGGGAAACATAAGCGATTGAGGGAAGAGCGAGGGTGGTGGGATCTATTGTCTGACAAGATTCTTCGTGTGAGGGTGTCAATACCCTGAATTTCTTGTTTCGTCCAATCAGCAACACCAAAAGAATACGAAAGGACGGGTACAGCATAAATATTTGTGGTTTTGTCTTTACGGCGAGCGTTCAGCACTGAACTCATAACTCTGATTTACTTAAGTCGACATTTTAATTCTGCCCGAAGTTTGTCTTTGATATGGGCATTCTCGAGTTTGTCTCATAAGTACGTACATCAAACAAATTAACATCATCCTTTCTACTTATCTCGTTGATGCATTGTCTATAAATTAATAATCTCAATGCCACTGTGCCCTGATTGTACGCCACTGTTGTTCACTGGTTGCTGTCTCTGTTAACGTTGGAAGCACAGCATTGACAAGGCAATTAACGTTTCTCTGGAGTTAACCCCTATCACACACATTGTACTTGACCTGCTTGTCATTGCTCTCAACACAGGTACTCGCCTGTACACAACCTACATATAATGCCCGACCTAGAGTAGGCCACGACCGTAGAAAAGCAGGCCGCTTCAGCACAACTTATCTGGTCATCATGCTTATCGGTCAACACCGCCGAATAATATAAATAATTGTTTTTCGCACAAATTGCACATGATGTTATTGTGAGTCATCGTTTCCCGTCTACGTGGGACGTTGATCTGTACCATATGTCCCCGTGTTTTTAACACCTCGTATCATCACTATTTGATAGTAATTCATAAACACATGCTCATTGGCAGATATTTTTGTGACTATAAAAAGGGACTTGTCGCTCTTGTTATTAATATAATGTTATCTGTAGTGTATCTTGCTCAGACTTAATTATTAACAGGCCGCTGTTATACACGTATTACTTGAATATTGATGCCTGACTCGTTAACAGAGCAAACAGCTTGTCGTTGTCATTGTATTCACAGCAAATGAGTATACAATATTGGTATAGCTAATCGGCCTTAATGAAGTTTGTCTTAAAAGATATACCGAAGAAGAAGGAAATGCATATTTGTTTCATTGTTTGCACTTTAGATTACCTAAATCAAGATATATAGTCTATAATGATAAAGTTATTTACTTTACAGATGTAGTGTTGGGTAAATACATTCCAAAATGTTCATTGTTCATTATATATTTAGGTTGTGGGTCATGTTCTCCAGAGTATACTAGATTTTCATTTATCTACGGAGGCCTTAACGGATTTGGCGGCCATATTGGATTTTTTTTGGGGTGGCCCTTATGTCAAGCAATATTTAGAAAGGCATTACATACAACTATACCAAATTCATGTTTTTATCCCAATCACATTTGACCCTAGCAATATCTGTCACGAAACGGATGCACTATCTGGTGTGGACTGACCATGACCATTTCTGTTGATACATCTTGTGTCTACAATGTAAATCTACTTAAGTATGCAATGTTTAACTTTCGGCTGAGTTAGTTACAAGGTGTCATGCATGCGTCACGTCTCTTTATTTCAATCAGCTAACATGTTTACACATGGCGAAAAGGGGCGCTTCCATTCGTGAAAAAGAATTCTCATTTGATTTCGACAGCGTGCATACATATTCAAAGTTGCATTAACTTACACTGAAACATTAAAACAAAACTAATTTAGGAAGGTATATTATTGAAGTCAATGGTTTGTTTCAAAACACTGATATTGTTAATGATGTGAATAGGCATATATTATCATTAAGTAGGGCCCAGGATAGAGACAGTGGGTAACCCAAGTTAGACTTAGTATGATTCAAAACCACCTACAGTTGTGTTTACCTGCGAACTCAAATGACAAGGTACATATAAAACAAAGGCACTTGTTGCTCCCTGTAAGTGTCACATTTTTCAAGTTATCGAAAATATTCACATGAAAACCATCATACTTGTTCAAACGGTTAACAACTTAATTGTTTTTCCCCGCCACTAGCAAATTTTCGACTTTTGGCTTGATCAAATTAAATGGCAAAAATGAGGGTAAAGGAAGATTTTCAACTTCAGGAACAAATCTAACGACGAGCAAATCTGTGCACCAAACTGAACGTTTTACCACCCGTTTGTCATTACTTTATCCGCATCGTCTATGAAAATCAGATTAATTATTAAACAGATCTACACGTATGCTTCTTGAAAAACATAAAAATCAGTTATTTAAACACCTGTGATAACTTGTCCTAACATTTAAAAAAATTGTTGCTCATTTCTTAAATTATGCAGAGCGTTGGTCAATTATGGCCCTTTTAATATTTTGTCCTTCGGGTCCTTGGATATTATAAAAGTAACTATTGAACTTGTCCGCGAGCGGTAAAGCCAGTCTCATCTGAATGAAACAATCACACTGTTCAATCAATTTGACAAAAGATTAATTAGTTGAAGTTCAATCAGGAATATATAGTTAATACAAAAATATCGTGTATATATCCCGTGGTACCATCTGGCTATAGATGGTTATCCTCACAAATACCAAAACATATTTGATCTTTAATAAAATGCGACAAATCCCGGTCCATAATCATAAGAAATATTTGCTAAAAGCAGAATCCATGGTACGATCATGACTAGATCATTAGAATGTGTTTATGAACCACTATCAGGTGATTCCAGGTGTTTGTGAAAAGGTGAGCGTATCCTGTCCCGCTGGTGGCTCTCGTCTCAAACACACGTAAAGACAAACCCTAATTTTACATTTACATTTTACATTTGTTGTTGTTTAACGCCGCACTTAGCAATATTCAAGCTAAATGACGGCAGTCTGTAAATAATTGTGTCTTGACCTGACAATCCAGTGATTATTGGGATACATGCACCAACCAAGTCAGCGAGCCTGACCAACCTATCCCGTTAGTCGCTTCTTACGACAAGCATGGACCAGTTCTAGCCCGGATCCTCACGGGTCCCAAATTTAACATCACATCCTGCAATTTAAACAGTAAAGGCTAAATGTGAATGAGTGAGTGGGGAGAAATACGCTTCCCGTATTGTACCGATGATGAGAATCAAACCTATGGAATGCAAGGTTTGATGATTATCTTGCTTATTATCAACAAGATGCAGGATTTCACCGACGAAAGCTGACTTACCGAACACTTGGTTATGACATACAGAATCAGCGCTAAGACGCTCAGATAGGGTCGTAATCTATTGCCACCAAACCGTTTCTGGAGATATTCAGGAATGGTAAATATCTGAAAAATAAATAACATACATGCCGAACATACATGCAGTCTTACAACAAAATGTAACATAAAAGCATGGGGAATATGAAATCAGAAGTATCAGTTTGCCTACACTTCATGATCACCTGAAGAACTGTAAACGTTTGCTAAGGATCACCACTTTAAAAGGTAATACGTCAAATTGATTGCATCTGTTGAATTAGCCAAAGACTGTATTGCGTGGAACATGTTTAATGAACAAAAGACCGTTGTCCCGGTCACACAATGCCAACAAACAAAATGTCATATCACCCGTCGAAATGAAAGTATCTGACCAAATCTGAAACAACGTAAAATAAATCACGAAAACAAATTCATTGTACACAGCTGTAACTCTCTGCAGCCCGTATGTGATCCACGTGAGGCGGTCACAGCCTGGCACTGTCGTCTCGTGCTCCGGGGTAGTTGCCAAGGGAAGATTGTTCCACTCTTCAGTAAGAGAATATGCCGGGTTCCTGTAGAGTTGCCGGAAATACAGAGTATCGTGAAAGGGCGATCTGCAGGTCGTTCCACATGCATGTGTTTTATTTGGTTGAGATCTGATGACTGAGCTGACCACTCCATGCAGACAATGGTCTCCTGCTCTAAGTAGGCATCAACGAGCCAGACATGATGTTGTCGTGCGTTACTGTCAACGTGCTCCGCTGTAGGATATGAAGATTCTTTCATCTGGAATGATCCTCCACCCGAAATCATGATTGAGCCCCCTCCATAACTTCATGTTCGGCGACGTTGGCATCCTGAAATCTTTCTTCATGTCAACACCACTCCAGTGGATCTATGAAGTCGCGACAGTATTTTGACTCATTAGTGAAAATTACTGGAGCCCAGTCCTTGTCTGTCGACGTGGTCTTCAGCCCATTCCATAATCCAGACGTGCCTGTGAGGTCGGGTCAGTTGGATGCGAATGCAGCCTCACGGAGACGATTACACACTTCCTGAGTAGAAACGTTAACGCCACTTGCGTTCCGCAGGTCATTGCTGAGTGTGATGGCAGTCACGAAGAGATGACGTCTTTCTGCAATGAGGAGAAGCCTGTCTTTCAGCTGTGTGGTGGAACGCTGTCGCTGCCTTAAGTTGTTGCAATCGTCAGAAGCAGATATTGTTGTGCTCTCCGATAATGATTTGCAACGATTCTGTCACGATACATCCAAACATAGGTTTTCAAGCACCTCGTGCACATCGTTCGCATGACTGCATGCTTCTGTCCGTTCATCTTGAAATTGAGGTCCTATATGGGTTATTCAATCATTGTTTACTGGGATATTTCAATCTTCATTTGTTGGATAAGATTTTGACATAATCAAATCGTGATCCTTAGCAAACTTTGAGTATTATATGTGTACCTTTACTTGCTTGACAACGTTTGTTAATATCCTCTGTACAAGCACAACAAATTGTTCTAAATATGACATATACATGTTAATAAGATACATTTACCATCACAAACAAGTACTTTTACGTGCATTTATTTACGTGTAAATGTTCAACTCAGGGCCTTGTTGCACAAAGCGATCTCAGCGCTACGAAGATCGTAAACCTGTGTTCAAGCATGAGTTTTACGATCACCTTAGTGCTAACATCATTTTGGGAACGGGGCCTAGGAAATATGGTAAAGGTATTTTTTCGGATTTCAAAAAAGTTAATTTGGATAAACGTGTGAGGGTGTGGAGTTTGTGGATATAAGAACCATCCCATAGTTAACTCAGAATACGACTATTCCAAACCTAACTATTAACAGTCTACGGCACATAAGGCTACTTGTACACAAGACTAAAATGTTATAACCGCTGCCTAATATGTGTTTCTTCAGTTATCTTAAAACAAACAAAACACATTCTGTCGACATTCTCCTGTAATAAAGAAGTTGCTCATCCATAACAATTTTGTCTTAGTAATTCTCCTGACTACACCTGCATACCACATATCATGGAATGTTCAACACTCGATGCTGTAACAGTAGATGAGTCTGCTTTTTGTGTTTAAAGTATTAGTTAGTAATGCATGTGTGCGTGTTTGGTGTATAGACGTTGTATAGAAGTGGTGTCGTTATCTTATACAATATCACTGTACTTTTGTGTTTACGATGCAGCAATATTCAAACTATACATTTGAATCTAGGCCAATGTCATATTTACACTGTATAAATGTGTTTAGAATGTAAACATGTTTCAATAGATGGTTTATCATCAGGCTATAGGTCAAATAACATGTTTAATGTATAATATGTATTGAAATTAAGTTTACAAATCAGATTCACAGGCACTTGCATACCACATGTACCCCCAGGACCTACAACGAACTTGGTACAATATAACATAAAAATGTAAAAAAATAAACATGCTAGGTTAATGGTGACTCCGTTAATGGTGGTAGCGTCAAGGATAACAAATCAAGATGTCGCAGGTTGGTATCCCGCCGAGGTTTAAAAATCACACTGTTCATAGACACTGTTGCTGTTTGACTTGAAGAATTTTCTCATACAGGAAGCTGACAATGAAAGTATGTCTGATTACTACGATCGACCCATAACTTGTTTTTAGTTACAGCCACCCACACAAGGCCACGTTAATGCATAATCTTCTACAATAACTATTATTTAGATCACTTTAGTGCTGAGATAGCTTTGTTGAACGGAGTCTAGTCCAAACAATTAATACATGCAATTGACTTCATTTCCATGTCCTTCCCCTAGTGTAACGCTTTCGAAATGAGCTCAACACGATCCTCGGTCATGAATATCAATAAAGTGATCTAACATAAGAATAAACCAAACAAATGAATGAAAATAACATTTTTTATTTTTTTTATTTTGAATGCTGCATTATCTTCTTGCAATATTTGGACTTAATTCATAAACTATTGATTTGTATCTTTTCCTCAAACAAAGGGATTTTATACTTTTGCACACCGTAAAAAGTGTGTTTAGATCCTAAACACAAACCTAAATACGTTCCTTGGCCGATTATTTTGACATATTACAGGCCTTAACATGTCTAGAATTGCCTTTAACAGCTAAACGTGTTTGGGGTCTTAATGTGGGAAACGCCCGTGTACCCCTTATGCCTTGATTCGTATATCTTCATTCTAGGTGCATTGTTTAGTTGGTGTTAAGGCTATTTGTTAAGTTCGGAACGACGGACGTGTAAATGTCAACACTATTTCTTTATTCACTACTATTCAAAGATTCGTCTGCAGCTTGCAACCGACACTAGCTTTCTGTTGGTTCAACTGCGCATCCATTTTTAGCATTGTGTACTAAGCCTGAAGAACACTATTGAGTTGCTTATCGATATGTTACAGTATACGAACGCTGTGTTGGATACATGTACGTGAATAATTTCTACGTTTGAAAAGATTTATATTCACACCGCCAAGGGTTGTTTTGGTGAAGGATCACACATTGCCAGGTCGAGCATACCTATTTTGTTTGATCTTGTATAGACTTGCGTAATCTTTGTACACAAAGATATATGAAGCCATAAATATCACGAATGTACAAATATGTTTTGTGATTGCTACCACTGGGATTGATGTCTTTTTTATTCCTTTTTTATGGTGTTGCCTTGTACAGGCATTGTAACATATATCAAGATATCAATATCAAGATCTCTTATGATTATGGATTGTCGTTTATATTTGAATGCAATCTGGTTGAATGTGTTAATGCCATCTGTAGTATTACAGACAAGATAGCAATAGATATGTTGTCATTTAAAGCTTTCTAATTTTGTGAATATCAGCCTGTAAAAATATGCAAAGTATAAATATTGAGTAGTGATATTCATGAATCATTTTCAAAGCTTTTGCTTAAGTTTGATTATCACCACTTTTCGTCCTGTGTTTTAACGACCGCAGTGATTTACATTCAAATCAATTCAATGTGTAATGGCGGAATCGGAGTATACGGCATGCCTGTGCATTGGTGACATTAATTACACAGTAGTAATGAGGTGAGGTGAAATGGAGTTTAACGTCGCGTCCAAGATTTTTGCACTTATATAGCGACGTGCATGCAAGTGTTTGTGGCTGCTTGTACTAGTCCGGACTGGTGCCGATTTCTTGTGCTAGCTCACTGAGATAACATGCCGCAGTTTAACATGAATACCCCACTCAGACACAGTATACTGACTCCGAGCCGACCAGCTCTTGTTTTAGCCCCTAAATGTCGAGCGACAGGGTTACCACAAGTGTCATCTTTTAATGTCTTTTGGTATGACGTGGCCGGGGATGGAACCCCGGACCTTCCGCTCTCCGGGCGGATGCTCTACCACGAGACCACGGAGGCGTTCCAGTAGTAATGACATTGCACGGGCAGACTATAGAAATATCAGGGGTACGGTGGTTTGAAGGGGAATCTGAGAGAATATTTTATTGATAAATAGCAGTGAGGAGTAATGGGGTTTAACAACGCGTTCGGAATGTTTGCACGTATATGGCGACGTGCAGGCACGTGTGTGTGGTTGCTTGTACTAGTTCGGACCATGCCGGTTCTATAGTGCAAGTCCACTGATATACATATAGCATGCCGCAGTCAAGCATGATTACTCCACTAAACTGTCTTTGTTTTATCCATATAATGCCGAGCGGCAGGCAGGGTAACAACAAGTACCGTGTTTTAAAGTATTTTTGTTTGACAAGCACGTGGGGTCGAGCCTTTGACCTTCCGCTCCCCGGACAGACGCGCTCTCCACTACACAACGGAGGCAGTCTTGGCACTGACCATCAACACAGCTGGGATCAAGGGCACTTAATGAAGGGGTTGTCTACGTTCACTTGATGAAGAGTGTGTCTACGTTCACTTGATGAAGAGTGTGTCTACGTTGACTTGATGAATAGTGTCCACGTTCACTTGATGAATAGTGTGCCTGCATTCACTTGATGAATAGTGTGTCTACGTTCACTTGATGAAGGGTGTGTCTACGTTCATGATTAACATATAAAACCAAACTAAAAATCGACTTGCAATTGACTTGAAATGATCGATAACCGGGAATCGAACCATTGACCTTCCGCTCTCCGGGCAAACGCTCAATCAGCCAGACCACATAAGCGGTATGTAGAGTGATGATACTAATATTTAATTTAGATTGAGTGAGCCCGTGTCAGCTTAATGTGTGAGGAAAGCCAGAAGTGATGCAGGTCTCAGACGTTTACCACTTCGGTGAAAGAAACCCACGAGGACGAACCTAGAAACATAATCGGGGCGAACCGGGATTCAAACCAACAATCATAGGTTTCTGGCGTGCCCTAGGGACGCAACTCTGCACAGCGAATGACCGTGCCTTAGACAACTGGGCCACCCGTGCCCCCATTTTTGCATAAACATGGGCCAAATATTTAAATAATGTTATTAATTAATTGAATTAAGTAAAAATGTGTTATGATACTTGTAGACACGCCTTTATGTATTTGAAATAAAACCCCAAAGCATGAAACTTGAACAAATGCATCTTTGTTCGCCAACGGGCCAAATTGTTTTCGCCCACAAGCGAGATATTTTAATAACGCTATAAAAAGTAGAATTAGGTTAAAACGAGTTGAAATATGTGACATGATACTTGTAGACACACTTTGATGTCTTTGCAAACATCTTCAGATGACGTATTACATGAATATTGACGGTGAGTATATATACTTACCCCGGTCGAGAGATAGGTCGGTAACAAGACCCGTCGCAGGAAAATAAACTGACGTCCAAAAGAAACTTTACGAGAGTTTGAAATCACTCTTGCTCAAAAACAACAAAACATACATGCATTAAGTAAAGTGTATTGAGAAGATCAATATATCACCATAATCAACACTGAAAATGACAATCATACCGCGACCGAGAATGGCGTCAGAGCCCCCCAAAGTTGGGTGTGGTACAAAACTCGAGCTTTCAGAATCATGGACAATAGGCAGAGTACATAAACAATCGCTCACGTTCAATAACAAGTCATTAGTAGCGTGTGTGACCACCAAATGCCTCAGTACACGCAAAAACTCTTCGACGCACAGAAAAAGTCAGTCGTCTGATGAGGCCACGTGGGATTTGACGCCATTCTTCTTGGAGGGCCAAGATCAGTTCTTGCCGGTTGGCTGGAGAGTGTGGTCGTTGTCGAACACGACGATCCATCAAGTCCCAGAGGTGTTCTATGGGGGACATGTCGGGTGAGCGTGCAGGCCACGGAAGGACGTTGACGTTGTTGGCTGCGAGGAAGCTAGTGACAATTCTGGCTGTATGGGCTCTAGCGTTGTCATGCTTATAAATGACACCACGTGGCTACTGTTGGAGAAATGGTAGGACAACTAGACGAAGAATGTTATCCATGTAACGCTGAGCTGTCAAGTTTCCGTCAACGATGACCAGCGGTGTCCTCTCCTGCCCACAGATCCCTCCCCACACCATGACACTCCCTCCACCATATGGTACGACCTCCTGCACGCAACACGCCGCCGTTCGTTCACCCCTTCGGCGGTAAACACGTTGTCTTCCATCAGCCCTAAACATACAGAATCGACTTTCGTCAATGAAGCCACCCCCTGCCAGTCACGTCGTTGCCAACGTCGTACAGTCCGGGCACATCACAATTGCAGACGATGATGTTGCACTGTCAATAGCTGTCCTCTGTATGGTCTAAAAGCCCTGATTCCATGAGCCCTGAGTCTCCTGGCCACTGTCTGTCGACTAACCCTGTGACCTAGGGCATTTGTCGCCGATGACGTCACTGTCAGGAAGCGATTTCAGAGGTGCAAGGTACGCAAGTACCGGTCATCATGGGGCGTGGTCACCCTGGGTCTGCCTGTTCTTGGCCTGTCAGCGGTCCGCCCTGTCTGTCTGTAACGTTGCATCAAGTTGGTAACGGCAACACGGGAGCAACCGAAGGTTCGTGCAATATAGGCGTGGGTGGCTCCCATCTGTACCATACCCAAGTCTCTTTCACGTTGTTCGACTGTGAGTCGTGGCATTTCTTTTGTGTTTTTTTATCACTGTGGATGTCTGACTTGCCGTTTCAATCGTTTTATACCCTTACCCGCACGTGCATTTGCAGTTGTCCGTGTGCACGTGTTTTTCACTTTTTCGCGTGTTATCTCTCAAACATGTAACAGACGATTAACATTTTCTGCATACACTATTGTTGTATTTAGGTTATGTGTTTTAGATAGACTTCATCGAAAACATTTTTATACTTTGTCTGAAATTTATATTTTCAGTTGGTAAAGTTTCTTTTGGACGTCAGTTTATTCTCACCTATGGGCGACATAGTTTTCGATACATTTTATTTTAATTTTTTCTTCCTTAGTACCTACCCATGAAAATAGAATGTTGAATTTTGTAAATAACTTTGTCAGAGACTGGCCACAGTTTCTGGACAGACGGGTTTCCAGTATAACATGGGACGTGTTATATACGTTATGTTATTATCTAAGATAGGTTTTTTGATACCTACGAACATTTTGTACAAAGGCATACGTTGTTCCAACACGTGTTCACATGGGCTATAATTTGACTTGTCAAACATCAAGCTATATACAAACACCCTTAAGCGACGTTTCACATAAACATGAATATTGAGGGTGAGTATGTTTGCTTACCCCGGTGGAGAGATAGATCGGTAAGAAGACCCACCCCAGAAGCAAGAGAAGCAGAACAGCCTGAAATCACAACAGTAAACACGTTGTCGGAAAGTGTGTCAAATTGGATCGAGGAGACGTCCTTCACAAGCATCGAAATGCGAGAATATAAAAGGCATAGGGTCAGTGGATATTTGAACGAATGCACACCCTGAATGTATAGAAATATCACACACAGACACACAGACACAGACACACAGACACACAGACACACACACACAGACACACACACACACACACACACACACACACACACACACACACACACACACACACACACACACACACACACACATATATCTAGTCAGTTTCAGAACGTTGCAATTAAATAGCTACGTGCCTTCATAATGAATATGAATGTGTGCATTCTTGGCTTCTACCTGGTTGGAATAAAACTAACAACCACGTATCATCATTCTGGTGAATCATGGTAATCTCACTATTTGATAGTGTTTCATGAACACATGCTTAGGGTACAGTCGGAATCGTGTAAATGACCCTTATTCTTATTCTCACGATATTGGATTATTTTCGCTTTTATTTACATGTATTCAAAGAGATTCATACATCATAGCTTCTCCTGAATACGAGTTTACAGAATCAGCAGTAGGTTGAATACTTACCCCCCATTCAAATGCTACAACGGCTATGCCAGAGGCCGCTCCACTCCCTGCCAAGCCAACGAAATGCTCACTCCCAATGTTGCTTGCAAACAACGAAGCTCCAATCTGTTTATTATATTATCATTATAAGAATATTATTTTGCACATTCATCTATTAATAAACGATGATCAATAATCAAGTCAACGCTGTCGTTCATATTTATCATATAAATACCATACACACACACACACACACACACACACACACACACACACACACACACACACACACACACACACACACACACACACATATATATATATATATATATATATATGAATATTTATCTCACGATAAATATGAACGACAGCGTTGACTTGATTATTGATCATCGTTTATTAATAGATGAATGTGCAGTCACATAACATATGCAAATATCCTTCCTCTATTTTATATATATATAAAATAGAGAATGGATATTTGCATATGTTGTTTTATATATATATATAAAATAGAGAATGGATATTTGCATATGTTGTTTTATATATATATAAAATAGAGAATGGATATTTGCAAATGTTGTCATGCTTATAATGTATCCATACGTAATGTGACTGTGGGGTTTGCTCGTACTGACGAGCCTCAGGCTATGTTGTACACTGTTGCATATTCATAATATCTGAATTATTGCCTTATTTGTGATGGGATTGAGAAAATGACGTGGGGTCACTGGGACATTGGGATGAGTAATCGTTGGAAAAACGTGACCAAACTTTATCTTTGTCTCACATGTGGATAATGCTATGAGTACATACCATACATATATATGAATAGTTATGAAAATGTTTGGGGCGGTCGGGTAGCCTAGTGGTTAAAGCGTTCGCTCGTCCCTCCGAGGACCCGGGTTCGATTCCCGACATGGGTACAATGTGTGAAGCCCATTTCTGGTGTCCCCCGACGTGATATTGCTGGAATATTGCTAAAAGCGGCGTAAAACCATACTCACTCATTTTAACTTATTATGAAAATGTTTATAAAAACATTCCTAACTGTAAATTATCACTAAAACATGTTTATGATATTCGGCAACAATCATAAGAGGGAGACATGACCTGTCCTAGACTGGTTTACCTGTCGTCGAGCGCTTGCGCTTCTAGCCTGCAGTGGCTAGAAAGCGAAGGGCAGGATATTATTCTAGCTCTGTCCGACCCATTTCCCCATACAGCATTTCGCTACGGTGAAACGTTGACCCAATTCCGTAAAGAGGGTCTGCCTGTTGAGAGTGTGGGGGACAGGCATATCGCTGTGTGGGAAACATTGAACCAGTTTCCGTGTACCGACATAAGCACTTTCGGACAGTGTAAATAATTGATGAGTCAGGCTACAGGAGTAAGCATATTTCCATTTGGGAGGTAACTCTCAAAGGTTTATAATTGAAAATAAAGAACGCACTCACAACATTGTGGGTTTCAATTTTAACAATATATGCATGACATCACAGATCCATTTCATTATAAAATAAAATTATAACAATGTAGCTATTACTTCGAAAAGATTGTGTAAATAATTGATGAGTCAAGCTACAGGAGTAAGCATATTTCCATTTGGGAGGTAACTCTCAAAGGTTTATAATTGAAAATAAAGAACGCACTCACAACATTGTGGGTTTCAGTTTTATCAATATATGCATGACTTCACAGATCCATTTCATTATAAAATAAAATTATAACAATGTAGCTATTACCTCGAAAAGATTAATTATGAACAAACATTAATAACTTTACCAATGTAGATATAACAATGTCAACAGTATCATGTATACCACTATGATTGTGTCATTTTGATACCCAGTGTTCCTTAAAAACCAATAACAAATGTTTCAGGAAGGTATTGTTGTAAAACATATTACTAGCTTTGTTTTCATAATGTTTGTTTTCTACTTTTATATTACATAAATATCAAACTGAATTGTGCATGATTAATATTCCTGATTTTAAAGGTACCACATGCAAATTACAATTTGTTTTATCTTCCGGGTTACACACGTGCACTTTATGACAACAATAGGTAGGAATGTTACAAAAATTCTTTGCGCGTTGTTGATCCTCTGGATCAAAGTTATCGTGTTTCATGTGTTTCTCATCGTCAGATAAACTCAATTATGAAAGGTTGTCATGTCCACCCATTTGCCCCCCCAACATCTATCATCCCGGTCTGGTACAAATGAACGAATTTCCCGTTGCGTACAGATTTCATAACTTGTTTTTCTTTTCAACTGCTAATTTCTCCCCTGTTCTCGACACCACGTATAGCACAATAACGATGCCAAGATTTTCTGAGGACATGTATTTTTGGAAAATGTTCCAAATAATCGTGTTCAAGATTCATGTTACGAATCATTTTTGCACTTATCCAACCCTTAAATATCCAGGTATCATAAACAATAGGTACTTCAAACATATATTTAATAGTCCTGATGTGTGTGTGTGTTGCGTGTTCTGTGTGTGTAATGGGAACTATACGTCACTCATGCATGATATGCATCATAAGTTTTTAATGTGTTCAACGTTTCGCTGCATTGTCGTGCAAAATACATCCCAATTTCAGGGAAATTTCATCAACCACCAATAATATAAAATGTAACATCATATATGAAGCCATTCATGTCATTTTCTGTGTTTCTCATTTCAATGCTCAGCTTCCGATAACTCTCATTGACTACATGTATGATCAAAACTGTTGCCCTCAATATGTCAGTTTAAATTAAATTCATATTGAAACTCCAATTTTGACGTTTTCTCAACCACCCGAAGTGTTGTTTGTTTGGTTAGATGTCAACCTACATGTTGATTTGAGCACACGGATATAACTTATATTTAACTGTGTCTTTACATGTACATGTAGAAAGTTATCATGTTTGTGTAGAACGTCATAGTATGTGTGAAGAACGTCACCATGTGTGCTCTGAACTTCAACACGTGTGCACTAAGTCTACTTACCGGAAACCAAACCATAGTCCTTCCGGCCAAAAAGTATCCCTTCACGCTCTCCCTGTTCTTGCGACACATAGACTGAAAGAAGAAAATATACAACAGAATATATAATTAACTCCAGATAATGTCAGGATGGACAATGTTGAACTCTCTACAAAGCGCTATATGGATTGATGATGTTTTGTTTGTTTGTTGTTTAACGCCGCACTCAGCAAAATTGTCAAGCTATATGACGGCGCTTGGTAAATAATCGAGTCTGGAACAGATAATCCAGTGATTGACATCATGAGCATCGATCCACGAAATTGGGGCATGCATCATCCAAGTCAGCGAGCCTGACCACCCGATCCCGTTAGTCGCCTCTTACGACAAACATAGTCGCCTTTTACGGCAAGCATGGGTTGCTGAAGACGTAATCTGCCCTGGATCTTCATGGGTAGATTGATGACGTCATTAACGCTAAATTTGAAATATACCAAAGCAAACAATTATGATGTCAAAAATGGTTATAAACGCATGCGCCCGAGAAACTTTGAACATAAACTTCTTTAGGTGAGAGAGTGAGTGGCTGAATGAGTTGTGGTCAACGCAGCTTTGTACAATATCTCAGTCATATGACGACGTGTCTGCCAACTTTGAGAGTATGTCTACCACTCTGGTGCCACTCAATACTGTCACGTTAACAACGATGTAACGATGATAAATGTTTATTTGCATACTCGTATATGCCAGGGGTCGACGTGTGGTTCCCGGTAGGAAGTGACAACATGGTGTCGATGGCTTGCGGTATATACAAGTTTACGTTATACAGGTAGATATATATACAAGAAGCAGTATGTCAGCACAATGTGATGGTAGTGATGGTGATACACAAAGCCATTTAAACTTCAAAACAAAGCATCAAGGGACTGAAGTGATGTCTTCCTTCCAGTGGCAAGGTGCTGGAATAGTCTGGCATATGTGGATCTGGACTAGAAGCAGGCAATAGGCAACAGGATGCACCTAATCATGCATTAAGCAGAGGATCACATAAACCTGAAACCATAAACTTCTAAGGCTGAGGCAATAAGTATGTGTAGAAGGTACCATCCATGTAGATAGTGTCAGAGTCCGAAAGAATGTCCAGCATCTCTGTTGCTGCAAACAGTATCTTGTTTACTTCTCTGTCATCGACACACAGGAACTGACGTCTGACTTGAGGAGACATGATCTCCAATGGTCTCCAATGGTAGTAAGTCGACCTTTTCATCCAGCAAAGGCACACTTCCAATGGACAGCCAGTTGACGCCGGACGTTCAAACGATAGCGAAAGCTATCATGTAGGACCTGTTAACGACTACGCTGTGAAGTTATGTATTCAACTCGCTGAACGTTCGCCATAGTGAAATGACATACATGTTGTTGCATTAAGTGTTTAAGAGGTCGCCTTCTGCCTTCGCAGAAGGAGTAACCCTGTGTGTTCATTGATGTATGAATCGCAAAGCCGATCGTTATCGTGTGTGAAACCGTAACCCTGAGGTGTCCAGACTTGAATATTAACAGGCCCCGATATAGTGTCAGCACCCGTAAAGAACTTTGACTCACTCAATATGATTAGACTGAACTAGATAACAGCATGTACCAGCTAAAAGAGTTTAAGGACTGTGAAAAGAGGAAAACCCAAGTGGATGCACACGTGTTGTTCACTGTAAATATGTAAAATCATTCCCTGCATAGTTTGAATGAAATGCAAACAGATCACGTTCAAGGTTATGACAATATTGAGCAAGTGCGTTCACGTGCGTGCCGCTGCGTATACGTGGCCGGACTTGCTAGTTCTATAGTTCTTGTCCACTGAGATACCATGCTCCAGTTTAATATGGATACGTCGCTCAGACACACCATACTGACTCCGAGCAACCAGTTCTTGCATCCCCGCAATGCCGAGCTTCAGACAGGATAACAACAAGTACCATATTTTAACGTATGATATTTTCGGTATGATCGAACCCCGATCTTCCGCTCTCCGAACAGGCACCCATTCTCTGAGACCACGTCAGTAAATGGATATTTACCAGATGAAGATAATGAAATGAATTGAAAGCCTATGTATAAAAAAACCTCTCCACACACGTGCAACAAAGGCTTTACTTTATATCTGTTGACTGTCATGGCACGACTAACCCTTTGATTCCAATATTACCAAAAAACAGACTAGCTTAAACAGTGACTATTATAGAGTCTACAATATTTGATAGAATGAAATATATTTTGTGTTTGCTTCTGTGCGTGCGTGCGAGCGTGCGTATGTGTGTTTTAATCTGTGCAAGTACCTCACATGACACATGCCTTGACCGTATCGTCAATGCCAAGTCAGGGTTTTTTCACAGTCCTATTTCAACGCAAGAAAAGGAAATACAATGAAACGAATTGAAAGTGACATATTCAGGAACCTATGTACAGCCTCGGGTCATGGTGGAATTACATTGACACCGGGTGTTCAGAATAAGCCCCATCTGATGACAAATAACAAGACATGTATTGCGAAAAAACATCGCGGGTCTTGTCGCGGGTTCGAATATCGGATTCTCCTTCGTAGCCATCCTTTGTAGCCATACCATAGCGAGGTAAAAGAGGAAAATGAACCTTCCTTCATCACTGAGCTTGGATGACACGACTTAGTTAACTTGATCACTATTTTAGCGTGTTGATCAGGATATTATAACATGCCTATTTGCATGGGGTAGGTTCAAACAAGGAAATGTCTTTTCGTGTACATGTAGTGACATAAAACAGGTGATGACCATTAATATAGTTACGCCATCTTCAAAGGTTCAGTACAACTTGTGAAAATTGAAAGCATATGTCATCTCGAGTATACCGAGATGAACAAGTATGACATGCTGGACTGCCTCATTGATAACATCTATGTGAAATTTTGAGATAAGATATTTTGGCAAGATGTAGGCATGCCTTTGGGCACCAACTGTGATCATCTTTTCGCTGATCCGTTTCTTTGCGCATATGAATCAGAATTGTTGCTCATATTTGCAAAATCAAAATAATGAAATTTGGCTAAGGCGTTTAGCTTTAGCTTCAGGTATATCGATGACCTGATGTCGTTCAATAACTAGAAATATAAGAAATCCGTGAAACCGCCAAATCTGTTTCATAAGATTCAGAGTGACAAAAAACTATTTACAAGATTGTTTGACAAGAGGGGTGACTTCAAGTTTCCAGTAGTCACCTTTCCCTTTACGTCCAGCAATAATCCAGCAGCCCCTCACTTTAAAAATTTTTGGTGTCTACATTTACACAACTCTGAGGTACAATCGAGCATGTTCTTTCCATGAAGATGACAGAGAGCGCCATTCGATTCGTTCTCAAAAGTTGTTTGATCAGGGTTACACAACATTCAAGACCTTGGTAAAGCTTCAAAACATTTGACGGTGGACATATGGAGGACATTTCCAAACGTGACGCATCAGTGACAAGAATGACGTCCGAACTAATACCCTATTTTGACTGTTATGTTTCCGTGTGTTTTTGCAGTGTATCTAATTACAGTGTCGGCCTTATTTACAGGTGATTCTACAATTCCTGCTCTCGGTCAATTACGATCTACCACACCATGCGTGAATAAACAGTTATGCAGGTGTTGCTGTGGGCAAATACCTAGCCTGAAAATGTATATTTATTTTGTGGATACATGTTTTACAAATTTTCGTTGATATGTGGATATATTAAGCACAAAGACCAAAAAAAATGTTTATGACTGATGAATTAGTGCCTTGAAATATTCATCGAGATGTGTATCATCGTTTAATGGGGTCATGTTTGGAGGAGATATCAAAGGAGCCGCCCAATATACACAGTGTCGTCCGGTGAACTACCACCCCACCCTGTCCATAATAGTTAATAATATGTAATCGGTACACAAATATATTTGATGCGGTGTCAGTGTGGAAGGAGTTTGAATTACGTCCGCCACTGGCCACAGAAATCCTCAAAGTATATATTAATCAACAAGGTCAATGCCGTACTAATTACCTAGTGGCGCACGTAACAACGGCTGTCAATCTGTCTGCTACATCTACCATACCATCATCCCTGTCACAACTGGCATATTAACGGCTTATTCAAAATATTAATTGTAGAAACGTCGTTAAGGGACTAACGTATGTCGTATACAGTCCTCATATTTGATTAAAAAAAGTAAGTACGTCAACTGGGAATTCAACTGGATGTTACCTTCCTTATATCAGCTAACAGCCCTGTTTGTGAAAATATTTACTAGACATAAGATTTAAAGACTAATAAAATCAATTGTAAGACCGCATAGACCATAAAACCGAATAAAATATGTCTTGGTATCATCTCTTGTGTATTATATGATGGTAATTACCTGAAATGTTATAACGTTAGATTAGGACGGAGAAACATTAAAGTGTTTTATAATACTTGAGAACATGAGCAATAAGATGTAGCAACATAAACATGCATGGAAAAGGGGAAAATGGTGAAAACAAATTGAAATAGATTTTAATAAAACATTATTGTACTAAATAACTTGCAAGAGCGGTGTCCAAAATTGTTTGACCGTGTTATGTGTGTTGTAGACTGACGAATAGTAAGTAATTGTCATGCTGTACGCATGGTTCCATATACAAAGTCAGATATACAACCGGTATGAAACTGAGAACTGAGATGCCAAGTTTCACCTGCATTCACACACGGAAGCAATATACTTGTGTGTATGCCCTCTCCTCTGAAAAATGCATCACTAAAGTATTTGCATTGTAATAAATATAGTAATGATAAAACTTGGTAATTTGGTAGGTCTCCGACAGATATGATTTTCAGTTTTTTTTTACACCTTTGATTGATACGGATTACGTACATGTAGTCTGGTCACTGTCTCCAATGTATCTGCTTGTTAGAAATTTTCTTTGATCGGGTATAAATAGTTGATTTGTCTTGTCACGCAGTCATTTTTACTTGATCGAATGATTTCCACAAAAAATTACGGCAGAGCGTTTTGTATTTTATTATATACATGTATTGTTAATCGTAGAAGATTCTAACATCACTGTATCTCA